CTGGGAGCAAGAGTGACTTGCTGGAACCCGAGGATATCGATCCTGAATTTGATAGAGGGCAGCAGGTTGCTACGAACATACAAATGCTTTTCAAGGGTGTCATGGGCTGTGAGGACGTTGTTGAGCAACTTGAGGGTTACCAGCAGCTAGTGGAGAACATGAAAGGCTTGGAGTTCTCCAACTCACAGATCAGGGCACAGATTCCCTTCGGCTTCATTTTCCGTGGCCCGCCAGGTAAACCATCATCTCCTACCTTATACATCATTGCGAGCTGACACCATTGTAGGTACGGGAAAGACGACTACTGCGAGGATGATGGGGAAGATATATTACGACATGGGATTCCTTATCGATGGCGGGGTGGAAGAGTGCTCGGCAAACAACCTCATCGGGCAGTACGAAGGACAGACTGGCATAAAGGTGCAGAAGAAGTTCGACGATGCCCTGGGAAGAGTCCTCTTCGTCGATGAGGCGTATAGACTCGCCGAGGACCATTTCGCTAAGCGGGCGATGGACGAGATTGTCCATTGTCTCACGAATGATCGATACCAGAACAAGGTCGTGGTCATCTTGGCTGGGTACGATGAGGATATCAATCGCCTGATGAAGCAGAACCCAAATCTTACCAGTCGCTTCCTGGAGACTCTTTCCTTCCATAATCTTCCCCCTCGGCACTGTCGGGAGCTGCTTCTGCAGTGCCTGGCTAAAAAGAAACTGGACACGGCCGAGTTGATGGCGTCGCCAACTCTTGACGGTAGGCTCCTCAACCTGTTTGGCACACTGTCGCAGACGCTATATTGGGGCAATGCGCGTGATGTGTGGACACTTGCCAAGTGGATCTTCGTCAGAGTGATCAAGGCGAAGACGCAGAACGTCAATCGCGTGGTGGCTGAAGGTGTGGTACTTGATGCCATCAAGTCGATGATCAAGGAGCGACAAGCGAGGGGTACTTCCACGGAGCACCACTCTGTCCCGTCTTCGACATTTTCTGTTCAACCGCAGCTCGGGCTCCCTGGGCCACCACAGGCCCAGACACTCATCTCGACAGACACAGAGATGGCGCTTGAGGAGCACGGCCGCGAAGAACTGCATGGTGAGCCTAACACCAACCCTGCGGATGGCAGAGACGCAGGTGTCAGGGACGCAGGTCTCAGGGACGCAGGTCTCAGAGACCGGGTATAGGCACGACTCCAGCGCGACAAGGCCGCCTTCGAACACCGCCAGCGCGAACTCGCCGACACCCGCCAGAAAGCCGCAGACCTAGAGCGCGAAACCCTCGAGCAGGAGGAAGACCTGAAGCGCCAGCGTGACGACGACGCGCGCCGCGAGGGTCTGCGTAGGCTTGAAGTTGTACAGGTGGAGCGCGACCTGGCGGAGCGGGCCCGTGTCGAGAAGGAGGAGCTCATGAAGAGGGAGCTCGAGGCCAAGGCCAGGTTGAAGAAGATGGGATGGTGTCCCGTGGGCTTTGAGTGGTTTCGGCAGGATAGGGGATGGCGGTGTGCGGGCGGTGCGCATTTTGTTAAGAATTGGGAATTGGGTATTTGAATGACTGGCCAGGGTAAACTGGCTGACTGGGTTGGATAGTGTGTAAGTGTGTGTGTCTGAAGGGAGGGGTGGTCCTGGTATTAGCTTCTTGGGTTGACTGAATCTTGTGCAATGAATATATCTAAAGCAATGATTATGGTCCGGCTCGATGACAGGGACTGATTTTAATGATTTAGGCTCGTCTAGTCAATTACTCCCGTTGTTTTGTGATGTAACGGAGTCTGACCCCCTGAGATCTGAAACGCGTCACTCGTGTGCGGCTACTAGTCACCGCCTGGACTGAAGATTCCATGGTCTCCTGGCGTAGGTATCATTGATACTCAGAGCTGCCGCAGCATGGTTGAAACAGATGGATGTCCTTTATGTCTTAACCATCGTTGTCCTTTGAGCTGGAGGTAGCGCTCTTCGCGGTGATTCGGCTAGAAACTGGCTAAGATTATTGGACTGTCGCGCTATCTGTGGTGGTGAGGTTGACAGAACAGGAAAAAGCATACGATGGACGCAAGACGAAGTCAGGAGTATACGACCAAAAAGCTGCGTTTGTTTAATTGATTGCATTGTACCTGTTTCCTTTCCTTCTGAAGGACGTGACCTTCCAGTGAGTCCCACACCACCAAGTGTATCGCATCGAAGGAACAGCAACCTGAAAAGACGCACTTGGCCGTTGGCCCTCTGCGAAGAGGATGGCTCTAGGAGCATTCCCAATCCTCAACAAATTAATGACAAGCAAAACGAGAAGTTGACATCGGCTCCGTCCTAGCCTATCGTGTAGACTACTCGGGTCCTGGCTTCAACTCGCTAAGTCTCACGAAGACATAGTTATCGTTTCCAGGATGGTCTTCCATGGATTTGACAAACGAGAGAATTCCGGGGGCTTGAGATCTGTGACGACAGTCAGCGGTGGTTGTCTCAGACTTATCATGGAGGAGAATTCATTACGGCGTCGATACACCAGCGATTCCACCCAAGTATCATATTGGAGGTATGACCTGACAAGGAGCATGTCCTGGGAAGGATCGGTGATAGTCTGAGTCCAGTAGATGGGTGACTATCCACTGTCAGTCAAGATTCAGTGGTGAAAACGGGTGGAACATTGGCATACTAAGAGATAGTTATTTTCGTGTACATGAAAGTCGAGGCGACCACCGTAGTTGTCTTGGAGAGCCCTATGTCCAAAGGAGCGTATGCTGGCATGGACCTCTGTAGTAATGCGATCGTCATCGACTCTCACACCGAGCCGTTGGTATATAAGCGTCGGCACGACAGCGCAGAAGATGGAGGTGCCGATCCAGAATGCACACGTTTCCTCTGTTTTCTCCGGTTGGTGCCAATGTGGAATTTGCGCCCGGGGCTTGAGAAATTGTGCACATCTCTCCACGACCTACATAGGCGACCGTTAGTTGTCCGCCGTTACTTAAGATGTCCATCGCGACTAACCTTACGGTTCAACAAGCAGTGATCCACGACGCTCTTGTCATGGGGATTTTATGTCTCATTTATCACAGATACGTCGGTAATTGATGATGCCTGGTCTACCAGGAACAGATCACAGCGTACCGTACGGTCATGGGTCCCATGAGATGGCAAGAACGAAGATTCCTTTATCTGCTGCAGCTTTTTTCCGATGTTGGTCTCCGCGAGTATTCTGGTGTAGTTAACACGGTTCGGATTGGGATCGATCCAGAACTCTTTGCTGTTCAACAGGAGCTCTGCGATAAGCCTTCCCTGGTCGCACTAGGACGAGAAGTCAGGAAAGACCAACATATGTCTTGGTAAAGACTAAAAATTGGGTTACAAGATGCCCTGGCTCGCCATCCCTGCTCGGAAACACCTGAATACTGTAAGTCCCCGGGGCACGAATAGCTTGGGCTGAAGGTCTTGGACTGCCATAGGGGGAGCGGGTCGCAGTCGAAAGACTAGGAATATTCGAGGATGTGTGTGTTGATGGGGTGCAGAGCAAAGCATATCCAGGGAGAGATGGCATACTTATACACTCACAATGTACCTTGGGCCGTCCTATGACCACTAAATGTAGTGCGATCGCACCCTGTTGAGTGACCAATATGTTGAACACCAACGTTTGTGAAAGACAAAGGGAAAGCAATGCTCGTGTTACCCAGGATCCACGGTGTTGGGAACAGTCTTTGTCCCCGATCATAGCCGAGTGTTGCTGGTGATGCGAGGAATGCATGCTGGACTACTCGCCAGCCGAGACTCCAACAACGGTAAAATTCTTTGTCTGATGGATCGGTGCAACTTCTGATGGGGTATTTCTTCTTGGCTGCCCGGATCGTGTTGGTACCTGGACGCGCAGCCGAGCGGCAAATGTTGGGGCAATGACAGGCGAGTTCCGGAATCGGGTTCGTTCAGAATCAAACTGCACGAGACTGTCACGAATGGATAACGGATGACTGATTGAAGCTTCCCGATTAATCACACGGCAGTCTCTGCAGTGTCCTCCAAGCCTACAGGCTTGAGAGCTTCCTGAACCCCCTGAACTCTCTGGTGTTCTTGAGCCTCATATCTGCTGCCGTCCAAAATCTCAGAGAAAATACGGATTGTTTGGCCTGGCTCACCACCGATGTGTGGTAGTTCATGGCTGGTGTCATGATCTCAGGGTCAAACTCATTATCCCGTGACCAATTTTGGGGCTTTACGGTAATATCTGATCAATAATCAGCAAGGCATTTAACCAAGCTTTTTCGGGAACAACGGTACCGGCATTCTGATTTCGAACCACATTTCGAATCCAGGAGGCGGTGACAGTTGGGCACCCCAGTAGTGGAGGTAGCTGACCAACACATACACCGGCGATCTGCCGAGCATTAGTCCACATGCGTAATCTGAGATGGTATGAGACTCACGACACCTGCAGAGTCACCCGCCACCTGAAGCTTTTTGGTTGTGAGGATACCAACGGCGGACACATAAGCCGTGGTGGACAAGCAGGCTGCAAAAGAGGTGTTAAGGGGTTGGCTACAGTCACAGACGCTCTGGTTGGTGTAGGCCACTCGGAAGACAACATGAGGAAAAACAAACAACTGGCATACGTTACCCTATATTCTTCGTGCTCCTCATTGCCTACGCAGAAGCTTCATTAGAGCAGTGTGTTACTATGGTCCTGACCAAGAGCCCCTATTCCCAACCCCCACTCAGTCCGATGCCTACCGCATCGCCTCGTGGCTGGGCAAGACGCGCCTCGCGTTCGCAGCTGTTGATAAGGGCGGGTAAACTATTGCCGTCGTTCAATTGTTTCATGCACTCTCCATTCAATGCGTGCCGCCTACCATCTACCAGTTTTCTTCCGTTGTTAGGGGAGACCACAGGTGCTCCACCCAACACATCTCTGCAAACCTCTCACGTAACCTGGGCACCAACTCCAGAGGGCCTCGAGCTTCCTTCTCCCAACAACATCTTGTACCTCAATTCATTCTTGGAGGTATCTCCGCCTTACAATGGCCTCTACGCACCAGGGACACCAGAGTGTGAAGGTCGTGAAGCTCGCTTCCACTTCGTTTCTGCCTTTCCCCGGAACCAGCACGCAACCCAATTGGAACATCATTTTCAACTCCAATGTCACTGGCTTGTGGCTCATCTACCTGAAGGATCCTACCAGCTCACCTTCTGCGCACGGCTGGGTCATTGGGTTGGTCACCGCAAGTGGCCAGGCTCTCCACGTCTACCCGAAGCAGACCAGCTGCACTGCGACCATGGCAATTGTCTGCCAACCTGCTTGTGCCGAGAGCGATTTCACCGCCGCTAAAAGCTTTGCTCAGATGGCCGGCTCCCACAGACACTTTGGGCGGGCCATGCTTCAGGGGGTCAAAATCGGACACATCTTCTTGGGGCTGTAGGGAGCCGGTATCATGAACTATTCGCTGAAAGATGGTAGAGGTCAGTTTATTCTATCGCACTTCCGCTCCTCCATTGCAGCCACTTCTGTCTAATACTGACCCATCCCAGGAATGAGGTTCTGGATCTGTGCGGCCATTGTCCTCGTAGACTTCTTCAGGAAGTGAAGCGGCGCGACACATTCGGCGATTGTGTGATCAAGGAGACCCGAGGCTGTCTCTTAAATCCCAACGGCCAGGGCATGTCGCTCGAGATCACTAAAGGCCAGGCTCGGGTCCATATGTGGTCCAAGAACGGAATCAAGGCGCTGAAGGAATGCAATGCGCGCATGGAATGGTTCAGGCTGGTGGATGCACAGTAGATATTGCTTGGGGCGATTTCATGGCTGGATCACGAGGTTTGCTCGGCTGGGTATCTCCTCTCTCATATCAAGGTTGTCGCTACGGTAAACAACAAACCTGGCTGTCAGGTGTGTTTCAGCCAGGTACTCTCCTCCTGCTCGTGACAAGGACATCTCACTGGTATAATCATTAAGTTATGCAGCCCAGCTTCTCCTGCAAGGGGTAAAACTGGGCTGGGTAGTGTGTAACTGTGTATTGACCCCCTTGAGATTTTCCCCATAGCAACCACAGAGAGTTGACTCGCCGCGACTATCGGCAAGGCGTCTTTGTCAGACTGCTACAGTCTGTCGGCGCCGGGAATAGCTGCACTGTTCAAATTGGCAGCCGATGGTCGCTTACAGGCCGAGGCCTATGTCCCTCACATGTGGACCTCAGTGTCCCTTTTCTTGCACTTGGTCTCATTGTTGCTCGAAAGCGCCTAGGTACCACTAAGACCCACTATCAAGAACATATTATAGCGAACGACTTGATTGATTATTAATCTCTTCATCCGCAAGCAAAGGGCCCAAAGCCAAACCCAAACGCCCCAAAATAGGAAAGAAAAGCAGAGCCCCGTTGTTATAGGCAGAGTCTAAAAGAATGAAGAGCGACAAGTCACCTCCGTCCACGACGACCTCAACGGTGGCAACCAATTGACCAGGGGATATTCGTCCTCGGCCACTAGCACTCCCAAACTAATGTACCAGGCTTGAGAAAATACTCCAACAAGATCATGTGAAGCCAGCATTATCTAAAAGACCAGGGTTTTTCCAGCCGAATGTGGAGGAGGTTTTGAGAGATCTTGAACTCCAGGCACGGTGGGAATGGACAGGAAACCTAGGTTCCTGTTCGCCTTCAGCTCGGTCCACAGGATACCATCCTCGAAATTGGGAGCTTTGAGCTCTGTTACGTATGTCAGTGTTGGAAGTCTGGGCCCAGCGGGGAGAGGACATTACCTTCGTGGAATACCAGCGCCTTGATCCATTCGTCGGGTTGTCTGTAAGCGTTGAGCTCTTGGAGAAGCTTCACATACGTCAAATATATCTAAATCGTGTCAGTGACCGTCTATGGTGTGGTAGGCGACGTAAATTGGACGTACAGGGAGTGTCAAATAGTTACAGAACTCCAGGCGACCTCCAAATATGTTTTCTCCGATTGATGTCCCAAAGTTGAAAATAGCTATATGTTCGTTTTTCTCGAGGCGATCGAAATCGTCAATACACAGTCCAAGCCGTTGGTATATGATGGCTGGCACAGCTGCGTATAGAAAGGAGACGCCCAGCCAGAATTCGCACAATCGTTTTAATTCCTCAACACGATGTCGTGGTAGGCTGCCCGGGGCTTCATGGTAATTGCTTACTAGCAAGCCGGCACGTTTCTCTACTTCCTAGTTGCATGGTGGTCAGCGACAGCGTTCCCCTATGTTCTTGGTACGACTAACCTCTTTGTTCACCAAGCAACCAGCTCTTTGCACCCGAAGTTTTGGTCCCAGGGGACAACATCCAAGTATGGTTTCGAGAGCAATAGGGTGAGCTCTCGAGGGGTTTCTTGAGGTGGGATATTCTCCGACTGTATATTGAGATAGACCTTATGATTCCGGGTCTCCTCGTTTGGCAACTTGCCTTCGGTTCTGTCCTCGATGAGTTCCCTCACCCCCCTGACTTTCTCATCGATCAACTCTTTCGCAGATTTGTTGAGCAGGGTTGTCGCGACTCGTAAACCGCCTTCGCACTGATGAGAGGAGTCAGCACGATTCAATTTGGTGTTGTAAGGTGGGTTTGTTAGTTACAAGCGAGCGCACAAGCGGGCGCACTTCTTCTGGTCCTGTTACATGAGACCAGTCAATGCTCTTGATGGTGTAGCGAGCTCGGTCTCCCACATCGGGGTCTTGGTTCGCCACGGAGGCGAGTATGTGTGATGGCAAAGGGGAAGAATGGTAGTTAATGTGCAAGGTGTCGGTGTCCAAAGCAGAATGCATCGAGCGAGAGACGGCATCCTTATAGCTCCATCAAGGAAGTTACGTCCTCTGACACCGAAGTGTGGTGTGACCGTACTTCCGGTCAGGAACCAACATGTTGAGCAGCAACATGAGGAAGGAACAAAGGGAACGCCATGCTCGTTGGATGCCCATGGCTCACAATTTTGGCAACAACTACAGCATTCGACCACAAACTAAGCTTTGTTGCTGTGACTTAACAGGTCATAAGATGTATGTATGCTGGACTATCCGACAGCCGAGTCATCAACAACGGTATCGCTCCTTCGTCTTCTGGTACTGTTCCCTTCGGCAAGAAGTCCTTGGCCAACATTGTTATGTTGGGTTTCGAACACACAACCGAGGGGCAGGTCTTGGGTCACTGGCACATGAGCGCCCTAGCCCGGTTCACAAGACTTTACGAGACTATCACGAATGAATAATGACTGAGTAACGGAATGGCGTCAGCTCCCCCTATCTGAGCCATTGTGACCATCGTTGTATGATAGTTGAATCGAGGTCAGAGCACCAGAGAGAGGGAACAATGGATAGGATTGCAGTGCACAAACATAACAGACAAATTCAATTAAGAAATTCTCTGTACTCCATAAGGAGAGATATATCCTTTGAGCTTCACGTCGTTCTATGATAGGTTTGGGTACCCACCAACATGGCTTGGCGATATGCATTCAAAAAGAACAAACAAAGCAGATGTGGATGCATATCCACATGTGATGACAGAAAAATAGAGACCACACATTGCCACCAACGAGAGTCACAAGATAGTGTCCATGGAGGACGTTTGCGGTCGTGAATTGTGGTCAGTTGGCTCTAGAAATGCGGATCATTTGATCGTGTTGGCAGTTAGACGAGTAGTCAACCAACAAGACAAGCCCCCCACTCCCCCCTCTGGTTAAGCGATCAAGGGACAAAGGACGGGCATCCAGTATAGCATCCCAACTTCGAAGAGCAATCGCTGGTTGCATCTCGCTCAGACTCATAGGGACATGCGGCCAACCAACGCGTTGTCCACCAAGGGATCGCATGGCCGGCCGTGTCATATGAATATCTGGGGCGAGTGCCGACCGGCCACGACTCCAGCTGCTGAATGGCACGCAAGCCACCGTGGCGCCAGGGAGGTGGCAGTGCACTGAATAGGGGCCATTAGGCACGGGGCATTCTGGGCACCACCAAGTCCACATCGCAGACCTTCAGAACCTCAACACAATCAGCACAGAATACACGAATATACACCATTTTACGAACCAACAACGCACTGTTTGACACCAGCTTCAATTGGCCGGAGTCATGAGGTCAGCACATAGACTACCCAAGTACAAAGTCTCAACCACCACCAATCAACGCCCTCCCGGAGTCGACGAGAGGATCCGACGGGTCAGCCTTATGTGCATCTTTTGCCTTTGATCATATTTCGCGGATATTCTCTTGGTGTCGGGAGGGGTCAGGCCAACAATGGTCACGCTTTGCGCGGTGAAGGAGAGAGCAGGGTGGGCGGCGCTCACGTACGTCCGTCAGGCAAGCGCCAGACCAGGTGCTGAGAAGTCGTCTCTGCCCTACAAGGGTATGAGCGGACGAAATCTTTAAAAGAGCTCTCTGACAAGATAGTTAGTCGTTAATCAGCAGCGTCCATACCTGAATTGTGGCTGAACGGCCGGACGACCGCGGCGGGCCCGAGATAAATTGATAACTGCGGCTCCTGCGTGATAACCTTGAGGGGGCCCCGTCGTGAGCCCCGACTACGTTCTAGAAGTTACGCTTCGTCTGAGCGGCGGCTGGATCTTCTTGTGAATAGCAAGGTGCGGTACGTACCAAGTAAGTCACCTGCTGTTGAGCGGAGGAGATGCCATCTCTGGCGATCGTGTGTGTGCGCGTCGGCTAGATGAGAAGTGCCTCATATACGGCGGTAGTGGTACGATCCCCCAACCGAGCGGGCGCGGGAGAGCTGCATCGGAGGCGGTGGGCTCCTCGTATAGGAATGGAGTTGTCGCGGGCCTTGTGTGTATTGTGTTGGGGGGGGAGGGGTGCGAATCTAACGAAGTCTTCATTATCTTCACATGAACTATTGGCCCAGCTTCTCCTTGGCTCTCATGGTATACAGTACTACAGCTTATTTATCTAAAGTCGTAATAAGGAGTTACGACCAGAGTAATAAGGCAACTATGAATCGCAGTCATGTTGTTTTACAGTAGAAAAACGAATAACCAAAAGTATAAAAAGACGATAAGTTTGTCCTAGCTAAAATGATTTATTCTATAGGCTAGTAGGGCTAGGGCTCTCGCACGGCCTAGCAAGGGTTCCATACAAAAGGGATTTCTAACAAGCCGTAAGACGGGAAAGAAACTTCCTCTCTTTATCTTACGACCGTTATACGGGCCTCGGGGACGCAACGGTCGCGATTTTACCCGCCCGCCGTCCCTCGCGCAATAGAATGAAATGGATGGACAGGAATGATATCAACTAGGTTATGGTTTGTTTGGTGTGCTGGGATAAGAATTAAACTTTGTTTTTCTTAGTGTGTAGTCTGCTTCCAGGAGCCTGGCCGGCTACGGGCCTACGACGGGACAGTCGGAGTCGGCCAGGCCCCTAGAGTGGCTCACACCCTTGTGCCTTGTGGTAGCGGTATCCAGAATAAGGACCAGGGTCACGAATGGTGGCTATTGGTCTGTATTCTGGAAGTTGCTTGATTGAAAGAAGGGATGGGTGGTGTCCCCATCCCAGAAGTAGCTATCATCCCAGTTGGGTACAAATCAGGTACAAACGGGTACCTGTTGGGCTCCAAGGTACCTTGTATCCTGGTCCGTGACCCATCCGTCATTGTGACTGGAAAATGGGTTGAGTAGCCACACCCTCTCCCCAATACATGCAATTCACTCTTACCACAGAGCCTATAGTGGGACCAGATGTGCACGCGGAACAGTAATTGATCAAGAGATCTGGGGATCTATTAAGCAACTAGGAGCTATTTAAGTGTACATAGGTCGTGGTTTTTAGCTAACTAATAGTGTTGTAAGAAGATATGATGTATTTGTAGATACGCCCTGCATTACGTGCTATGTAGTTATACAATGCAATGGAGCCTTAGCTGCCTTACTGCGACCTTTAGGAGAATACATATAAACCTTATCCTTGATATCTTTCTTGTTTCTCCACATGATTCCTCCTTTGCGATCCTTCTTATCCCGAAATGTCGCATATTTCACATACCCCTTCTTCTTTAGGTCTTCCCTGTTCTTAGCTGTGTTCTCTAGCACGGAAGATTTGGTATCTAGCTTGGGTACCGACCACCCAAACTCCGAGTTCTTAATCCTTTTGGCCTCCGGTGGCACCTCGTTCATCTTGTGAAATTTGTTGTCGGCACCCTGCCAGCCTGCTGGAGTGTATACCGTATTCCCGTTCTCATCCTTGTTCACTTCGTAGAAAATCCAGTTTTCATCCCAGAAGCCCATAAAATCCCAGTCCATGTCCTTTCCATTCCACCGGTACGTGCAGTAATCTGCACCAGTATACTCAAAAACATCGTCGGAAGCCGACTCCGTTTCGTCGTAGGAAGCCGGCTCCGGATTGCCCCATTTTTTTATATTTGCGTCCATCTCGGCTGAGAATAGTGACGACTCGTCGACCTCCCCTGTCCCAGTGTTTCTCGCACCAAACTCTACATTCATTCCAACTCTCTTTCAAGTGTGTTATGAAGTCCTCCCGGACGGTCATGAACCAGTCGCCGTTGTGGCACTGTGATTCAATACATTCGGCTTTGGTCCCGAAGGTCTTTTTGCTGCTAAGTATGGGTTAGCTTTGCATGGGAGGTCAAAGGAAGGCTACAGTGGTCAGGATGGCACCTTACCTAGAATCTCTGGGCTTGTGGCCCAGAGGCGCGGTTGATCGCGCGGTGCAGCTTGCCAGCAGCAAGCCGAAGCTAAGAAGTTGTTGGACGCGCATCGTGATAGAATGGTGAGGTTGAGGGACAGGTGTAAATGGATCAATAGTGTGAGGTGTAAGTTTGTCTTGTGAACTGTAAAGTACGTGGTGTGCTTGCTGTGAGTGTAGTGTTCGAGATTTTCTATTCCAAGATCCCTATTCCCAATACTCCGGTCTTATAAATAAAGAATAACAACTACCCGCCCTGTACCGCCTAGACTAACATCATCGCTCACTGAACCCCTCGAGCCGGGCGCAATAAGTTCTGGGCGGGTACCCAGAACTTCTTTTTATAGCAGTTGCCTTCAATTATGATAGATCGGGCAAAAGTTCCTTTCCGGGTATTCCGTCTTACAGGTATCCAGGATGGTAATGGTTAGCGGTTCCACGTGACAGAGGACCCGGGGTCCATTTGGGTCCATACTTTCGTTGTTGAAGTCACGCAAAGTTCTGATCTATATTATCTGCGATGGTGAGAGGTAACTTTACGCAATGGGAACTTTTTCGTACATTATCAGCATGGCAATTATGGGCATCATTTGCAAACCCATACCCCCAGCATGTATGGGGCGGGCCGCTCATCGTTACCATCCTTGCTACCTGTGACCACTTTCAGAGATATTATGATTTGTTCTACGGGCCGCTTATAAGGGCCACTGTCCGCCCGCTGGGACGGGAGGAGAACTCTCACGACCGTTGTACGGGGCTACGACGGGACGCAACGGTGGCGATTTCACCCGCCCGTCGTCCCTCGCGCTGGAAGGGAGGATATCAACTGGGTGGATTACCGGATTAAGCCGGGTGACGAACAGGCCCACGTCCGCATAGCCACCTGTCACGACGGGAGGAAGACCTACAGTAGACGAGGCAAACTGTATCACGAAAGGTGGCATCTTCTGACATATTGGAGACGTCACAATCTGTATTGCGACTGAAGGCCAGGCGAGCGGCAAAGAGGTGTTCCATGATCCATCAGCACATCACCAAGCCTTGCTATCTCAGGCTTTGATCATCCATGAGGCCATTGTTCGTAGCAGGTAACGTTACGTCGTTGAGTCGCTGGTATATAAGCGCGGCAGCCAGTGCCTGACGAATTGCAGATGTCCATATCCGACACTGCCTCCAGGCTGAGGGGGCCGCTTGGCGGTGCTTCGAGGAAGGGGACGCACTTCTCTATCAACTTGGTCCATATCAGCACCGTTCATGTTCACATCTCTTCATGGAGCTCACCTCCAGATTTACCGCACACAAGCCATGCACCCAATCGCTCCATGCTGAAGCTTCTCGTTCAGATATACCTTCGAGAGTTCGTGCATGCCTGCCGTCAGGTCCAACCTGGTCGCAACGAACGTGAAAGTCCCAGGGCCCCAATGGGACGGCCGAATCACCAACGATGGGCCTCCAACTTCGTGAGGAATAGTTCGATGTGTGCCCTCACAACGTCCGTGTTCAGTAGCGTCCGTGCAACATCTTTTCCATATTCAAACTGCGAAGTCGTGTTAGACCCGTCGGGGAACAGGACTGGAGTTGGGAAGCCCATACTTAACTGAATCTTCGGTGATCCCAAACGTACGAGGCTCCTTCAGGAAAATACCCGCTCGACATGGTATAAATACCTAGTCAGGTCTTTTATAGTTGTCGCCAAGTTTGCATCACCTATCACACCTGGGGCTTCGGACGCCATGATGGGATTTATGAGTATCAGGTGGTAGAAGACAGTGTTTCTCTCGAAAGGCAAGAACGAGGGTGGGGGACTGCAAAGAGCAGCATGTCTGTGGTCTGAGACTGGTTCTTGTGGAGAGGTTACCTGCGCTTGCAATTGGTTGGCATCCGTGCTTGAGATCATACTAACTCGTGTATGATAAACCGAGACGAGAACAATGAAGATGGTACATTCTTCCAGCAGCGGCTAGAAAGATTGGAAGCCAGAATAGGTGTGACCGCCTAGCGAAAGCGGTTCTGTTGCCTCCATAGGATTGTATAATTCCATGACAGTTGTTGGAGGTCAGCATGGCGTCAATGTTCTTTGACCTGTCCTCACTCAATAGGGGCTTCAGGCCAAAGGTTCCACTTGTGCTTCATCGGGCTACCTGTGTTGTTGGCTTCAGCTAACTGTGACACCACAGCCGGTAAAAGCAACTTGAAACTGCAAGTTGGGGTGACGTCGATTACGAGTTAAAGACATCGCAAGATGGTGCCTTGCAGTACAGTCGACTTATGACAAAGGGCTGGTCATAATCGACAGACTTGAAGTCTTGAATGTCTGGGGTAGCGACTCCACTGCCAGGTGCCTTACCGGTACAACTTACAAGTTGAATGGCTGGAACAACACTACTAATCTTGAAGAGATGCAAACAGTATGAACAGTCAGTCGGTGCTCAGAAAAGGTGTACTCCCTGGGATCTCTACGGAACTTCGCAAATCAATGATGAGGCACGAGAAAAGGGGAATGAATGTTGAAGCTCACAACAACGACTGCCAAGGACTGCCAAGGATTTCCCGGCTAGATAGTAGACGATAGACCCCAGCGCGACGCACAGGCCACTTGCTTAAACTGGGGTTTCAGACCGCAGCCAATCAACGCGCTCTATTTGTAGACGAATCAGATCCGGCGGGTCAGCCTTGTGAACGCTTGACCGACTGAACCACCCCCCATAGCCCCCACTTGCGCAGTTCATCCCGGCAGCTGCCCGGCTGGATATCGTCAGTGCCAATCGCGAACAAGCCATCAATTAATCAACAAGGCCAGGGTCTTCACCGCAGCCGCCAGCAGCCAGCAGCATACACACCGACAAGTCGACGCGCTGCAGATACCACGTGTCGCTACCACTGCCTAATACCCATCCGGCATCAGGAGGAGAAGCTGTCGACGTGTCCATCCTCGAGTCGTGCTGTGCTAGTCAACACCGTCGGACCGAAACCGCAGAGTTGCAACAAGCCGCGCGATAACCCCATCAACGCCCTCGGGTCATTACCTTCGCCGTGTGGTATTCCAGAACAAACTCTCTGTATCAGCAAGACTAGACTGGGTGGTGCATCGAGCCACTGCTCAACCCAAGCTCGTATTCTCGCTACCTACCTATCCGCTTCAGAGAGATATCGTCAAGAGAAATAGCGGCAAGTCCGACGCGGTCACGATGGACGACTACTCGTGGGTTCTGAACGCCTTATCAGGTACGTTTCAGATCGATTCCGATCTCCATCCTCCCCATTCCCATCTCCATCCTCCCCATTCCTACACCAGCCGCCTCCCAAAGCCCCTAAACCACCACCACGCCCCCCGTCATCCCTCCCAAGCACCTGCTAACACCCACCCCAGGCTTCCTCCCCGAACCGACCGCCCGCCTCCTCCACGACCACATCCTGCACCCCAACAGCACGCTCTCGACGCTCCGGAACCACATCTCCGCTCTATCCCGGCGCACCCTGGGGCTCCTAACACCCTACATCGCGCCGCTCCTCGAGCGCTCGATCCAGGCGCTGCACGACTCGCCCGACGTGGTCGTGCTGGCCTTCCTGCTCGCCGTCCTGGTCGTGGCGATCCAGGCCATGCTGTGGGTGCACCGGACCATGATGTTCTTCACGCGGCTGGCGATGCGGCTGGTGTGGTGGGCCGTGGTGGCGGGCCTGCTGGCGGCCGTCTGGCAGCGCGGGCCCGAGACCGCGGCGCGCGACGTCGTCGTCTTCGTGAGCAAGGCCGTCGGATACGCCGCTGTGGTCAAGGATATCTGGATGAGCGAGTATCAGCGCTACGATGCGCAGACCAGGGGCGGGAGCGGGGGCAATCAGAGGCTGCCGGGCCATGGACCAGCGCGGAGGGCTGGGAGATGAGACCCCCATAATGGAAAGGGGGTGGATGCTGCAGTTATTGGATTGGATTGTATGGATGCTATTGGTACATTGGGGGTATTAGGGGCGTTGGTTCGGCGTACTACATACATGATCACGCATGTTCCGGATGGGAATGACAGCCGCGTGCTCGGAACGACTCGATGACTCGATGACTCGTCAAATCTACTCAGTTTTGGTATCAACCTAAGGTGCCATAATGTCCCAAACGCCTGCGCTATGCAACGAAGCCACCCAAAGCAATCAGACTTGAACCATAATCTCATGATGCACCCCGCACTTATACACTGGTGTGGACCTTGTGTATGATGCGACCATTGCACCTGGGAAATGTCCAGCTGGGATTGGTGTCCGTCGAGGGGATGCGCCGGCGAGTCCAGCTCTGGGAGCCTGGGCAGACTGGGCGCGGGCAGGCCCAGCAGATGCCTTGGGGGTCGACATGTATCGCTGAAGCGTCTGTTGAGTTCTGGGTGCCTCTGCCTCGGCTGGTGTCGACTGAGACGATATGGCCTTGGGATGAGTCGCTCGCTTCCTGATTGCAGGTCCTTTAGGCTGTAGTCCTCGTCGGAATTGCGTCTCTTCTGTTGAGGTGTCATTCTCGCGATGTTAGATGTGACCCTCCCCGTGCAACATGCGCCCAATCAGCTCCCACAAATCTTCGATAGTTATTCCTCGTCCATGCCCTCATATTCCTCGTCTTTCATCTCCCTGGGCTCCTGGGCTTCGTGGTACTGAATGCAGTCGTCGATGTAGCTCAGGATGGCACCGACACTTTCCTCGTCCTGCACGTCGAGCTTGAGATAGCTCACCATGCTGAAGTTCTCGATGAGTCCAGCGACCGCCTTGTTGAGCCTCCTGAACCCGGCGCCCCGCATCACGGCGGCTCTGTCCTGGGGATCGGCCATCTCGTCGTCCTCGCCGTTCCCGCCCTCATATGCCCGCCGCGCCGCCTCGGCCGGGTCGTCCTCCAGCAGGCCGCTGTCGGGCGTGATGAAGCGCTTCAGGTCCTTCTTGCGGACTTGGTCCTTGACCAGGTCCATCTTGGACAGGATGTTGATGTGGGGGACCTCGAGCATGATCATGGCGGACATGGCGCTCAGGGTGCCGGCGAAGAACTTGGCGCGGTCGACGACGAAGGTGGCCTCGAGGAGGTAGGCGGCGCACAGGCGGATGTCGAGGGATCCCGCGCGCGCCAGGAACTTGACGAGCGCGGGGAGGATGGGCACGTGGGTGTACAGCTCGATCTGGCCGGGCATGTCGAAGATAATTAAATACTCCTCGGTGAGCGACTCGAGCGCGTCGGTCAGGAAGTCGAGGTTCTCCATCAGGAACTCGAAGCAGTAGATCAGCCCGCCGTTAGGGCCCAGCCCCATCTCCTCCATGACGTCCTCGAGCGAGATCAGGTCCTTGATGTCCAGGTCCGGGCTGTGCTCGAACGACTCGGCCGCCGGGTCCAGGTTGACGTAGAAGCAGGACCGCCGGTTCAGCTGCAGGTGCGTGATCAGGGCCGCGCAGAAGGTGGACTGGTGGTGTTCGTGTTCGTGTTAGCAGGGACACGCTGGGAACTGGGATGTTGCGCAATGCGTACCTTGCCAGCGCCGGCGGGCCCCATGATCATAGCACCAAACTTGCTCATGATGGCGCGATTTCGAGTCTCGCAGATGGTTCGTAGGGCTGCGTTTTGGGGTCACAACATACGGAAGGGAGAGATCACAACATTAAACTTTCTTCAGCCTTGCGATGGTGACTTCGAGGAAAATTGTTGGAGGGGCTAAAGTGCAGGGTCCAAGGTGGGGTCGGAGAGATAGACGCAGATATGCATACGATGCATAGCCGCGGGGTATTATTATGCATTCAATAGTACTATGCATGCCCGAAGAAAGGAAGCCAGCCTCAAGTCGACAGGATTATTCCAAGGTGCATGCGCTTGGTACTACCATAGGTATGTTCAAGGGCCACATCATTCGATACCAGGTACTCGTAGTTAGGAAGTAGTTAGCACGGAGGGTCCTCAAGTATGTCGTCTTATACTCTTGAGTTATCTGTAGTCAGATAGTAAGTACCTGCAGCCTGGGCAACCACTCACCGCCTTGAGCAGCACGACGATACAGTCAGACGACAAATAAGCAGCCATTGTACCTATGAGACAGGTCCAACCAATGGCCTATCGGAGCTGGGGCAAAGATCACGGAGTGTATGCGCCTCTGAATCCTGTGAAGCCGTCAAGGACTCCGAACGGTCAGACGGTCCTCCGATGAGCCGACTGGTGTCGTGGGGTATTCAGAGGACGAGGGACAACTCTCAAGCGGATCAGAGCTACAGTTGTTTGTCGATCGAAGATTGCCCCAATGTGGCCGGGATTGATAGCCACTCAAACGAGCATCCCGTTGACCCGTGGGCTACCGAACTGGTGTTCGGGACAGACGGTCAGAGAAACCCGAGTGAAGACTCCCAAACACACATGCCGAAGTTCAAGTCCCGAAGTTCCTGTAGATTTCCAGACCTGCAGCACGTTTCTGAGGGGCGTGTCCACTGGCCCCGCGTCGGCAAGAGATAGTATTGGGCGGCTCCTGCGCGAGTAAACCAAGCCGACACCCAGCCAGGAGGAGGAGGAGGAGGACCGTAATGCTGACAGAAGGACGTGTAATAGCTCAGTGTGGTGCGAATCTTGAGGGAATCTTGCAGCTTCCAACCGTCACTTACATAGATATATATCTCGAATAGACAGTACAAGGAACACTCTTGGTTCCTATCTCGATGCCAGTGATGATTCTGTCAAAGGACTGAATGAGTTCGTGGTATTCTCGAATTGGACACATCGACACCGCAGATAGATTTCGGCGACATTCATCTAATGGGGCTTTTTGTCGGCCCCGCTTTCATCCCATGCGGTCAGGAACGGGTCCTGCTTTAGCCCAGAGTGGCAAGGCGGGCTGACTGGCACAACGAATATTGCACCATCCTATTTGGTGGGGTCAGTCAGATACATTAAGTTTTGCTCACAGGGTGAGCAAATCTGCAGCTGTTAGTGACACCTTGTCAGTTAGCGGGTTGGTGAATACTTTGTGTGCCTCTCTGACAGGCCTTGGTAAGCTATTTTACTTCTGTATCCTGCCCCTCCGATTTTCCTCCCCTTGAAAAATCCAATTCAATTCACTCCATCCATCCGTCCTCTCTGACAACCGCTCCCCCCATCTCTCTGTCTTTCTGGGTGTGTTTTTCTCAGGGCATTCTGCTACGTCTCTTGGGGTTTTCCTTCATTCCTTACTAAACATCCATCAATCACAGCCACACTCATGATGCCTGCCACCAACGGTACCAACGGCGTCGACAACGCTGCTCCTCGGAACGCCGGCGCGTTCCTTTTCACCGTGAGTACGCGACACCGGCCTCGCCTGGGACAATGCTGACCGATTGCTGCAGTCCGAGTCCGTCGGCGAGGGACACCCCGATAAGATCTGCGATCAGGTCTCAGATGCCATCCTCGATGCCTGTCTCAAGGAGGACCCCCTCTCCAAGGTCGCCTGCGAGTCTGCCACCAAGACCGGTATGATCATGGTTTTTGGCGAGATCACCACCAAGGCCCACATCGACTACCAGGCCGTCATTCGCGGTGCCATCAAGGAGATCGGCTACGACTCCTCAGCCAAGGGATTCGACTACAACACCTGCAACGTCCTCGTCGCCATTGAGCAGCAATCTGCCGATATCGCCCAGGGTCTTCACTACGAGAAGGCCCTCGAGGAGATGGGTGCTGGTGACCAGGGTATCATGTTCGGCTATGCCACCGACGAGACCCCTGAACTGCACCCCCTGTCCCACCTGCTCGCCCACAAGCTCAACAAGGCCATGTCTGATGCCCGTAGAAACGGAACCCTTCCGTGGTTGCGACCCGATACCAAGACTCAAATCACCATGGAGTACAAGCGTGATGGCGGTGCTGTCGTTCCCCTGAGAGTCCACACCGTCGTTATCTCTGCCCAGCACAGCGAGGAGGTTACCGTCGAGCAGCTCCGAAAGCAGCTGAAGTCCGAGATTGTCCAGAAGGTTATCCCTGCCCAGTACTTGGACGAGAACACCATCTACCAGGTTCGTGGTAGCCCATTTTAATGGTCTTCGGGATGCATACTAACTATTCTGTCAGCTTCAACCCAGTGGACTGTTCATCATTGGTGGACCCCAGGGTGATGCCGGTGTTACTGGCCGCAAGATTATCGTCGACACGTACGGCGGCTGGGGTGCCCACGGTGGTGGTGCCTTCTCCGGCAAGGATTTCTCCAAGGTCGACCGATCGGCTGCCTACCTTGCCAGATGGGTTGCCAAATCGCTCGTTGCCTCCAAGATCTGCCGCCGAGCGCTGGTGCAACTCAGTTACGCCATTGGTGTAGCAGAGCCTTGCTCTATCTACGTCGACTCATACGGCACCTCGGAGAAGACTGACGCAGAGCTTGTCGATATCGTCAAGGCCAACTTCGACATGCGACCGGGAGTTATCGCAAAGGAGCTTGATCTTGCGCGGCCGATCTACAACCAGACAGCCAAGTTCGGCCACTTTGGTACCAACCAGGACTTCAACTGGGAGAAGCCCAAGACGCTCAAGTTCTAAGCAACTTGTTGTTATAACAACTGCATCTCTTCCGTGAGGGATTACTCCTCTCGATCTAAGAGCGGAAGAATCAACTTCTTTCTGCATCGCGACTGGCGTTTTTTACGGTACTAGAGACATACGATTCCCTCATCGGAAAATGTCATGAAAATTTGGGCATGGCAAAGCATAGGCGTACGGTTTCAACATACCCGGTGATTTTCTGGGCGGCGGCGGCTGCACAGATATAGTGCGAGGCATACAGTCATCAACAGGACTGCTGCCGCATCTACATATACCATCCAACGATGCATCTTTCAACATGAGAAACATGTTGGACAACCAAAAAGTACTTTCCTTCGCCTGCTCTATGTGAAACTATGTATGAGGGCCTCTGAATATTATATATCTATTCCCCGGAAGTAAGTAAAACGTGTAGGTTCCCGAACCAGTACCGCTAATTGCCCGTAAAAACAGCCTCGAGACAGCATTGCAACCAGAGAATCCCAGTGCGCGGCAACAACAATAGGCATTGAGAGATTATGAGCTAGTAATTCAAACTTAACGACAACGGCTCCTCCACATCACTTCATGAATTGAAAGCAACAGATCGAGTTCAGCGTCATACCAACAGCAAGACAAGCTACCGAGCCTAGAGACTGCCTCTAGGCACCCAATACATATACATCATATCAACCCACCGAGTACGGGCGTACGAGACCAATAAGGGGAAATTCGCTTTGTTTGCTCGGATCGTTGGTTGGTTGGTTGGTTGGTTGCAGTGTTTAACGTCTGCTGGGTGCATCCTGTCAAGGCCGCAGGGGCGATAGGACGTGATAAGCGGTCCAAAATCTATCTACATACCTTACGTATGCTAGCTATATACATGGTATGATGATGGCTCCCGAAGTCAATTCAAACCCTCCGGGGCATCAGGGCCTCTAGTCCAGTCCTTTAAGGACTATCAGGAAAGCGTTTCGTTGTCCCCTACCGCTGTATATGCCAGCGTGTGGGATATGGGTGTCGGTTCCCTCTCAGCAGGGCTGTGTGAGGGTGAGGGTGTAGGTGGATGATCGATCACAGCATGAGTGTGATGGCCGCTTGCTCGGATCGTGATGATGAGACTGGCTTCATAACCCCCATCCATTCATGGCCATGCCAAGCAAGTCAAATATGCCTACACTTGGTGGAAAGCCGCTTGGGGACCCTACCTACCCTGGAAGGGACAACTTGAACTCATGGTAGCAGTGTTTGTCCAGTCCAAATCAAGGAGGCTCGCTGGGCAGCAGGATTACCACGCAGAGAATAGTGGATGTAACCGCGTCTGGGAAATTCACTATAGATCTAGGCAGCTTGATTGTTGTGGTTGCTCATGTCTTTTGTGAATTGGTTCTTTATTTCGCGAGGCGTAAGGGATGGATGAGCTTCCATCCTACTCGCTCAGACCTTCGCAAATAATCGCTGACCTCATCTGTTGACCTAAGATACCGAGGGTATCATATACAATACACAGTACTGCAAAGGGCAGTGAGTGGAGGACTTGAGCCTTAGGTTCAAGTCCAGACGCCAAACTCCGTCTCCATGCTTACGATACGGACGTGTATCAGGTCTTCCTGCACCCAGATGTGAAGATGAGATCATACCACATCTTCCATCTCCACATTTTCATCATCTGCGTCGGATTCCGAGTCGTCGGGTGCCGGACTAGGGGGTGCGCCTTCAATCGATTGCGCGGTTGCTCGTTTGTATTCTGGCTTGAGCTCCCAGTAATTGCTGAAGCGTCCGGACTTGTGCAAGACCGCAAGCTCCTCCAAGTTCTCGCGGAGCCACGTCTCAGGCTGATTGAGGGTTTGCTTGAACGCTTTGAGCGACCAGAAGGCATATTTCTCGTAGCATTCGAATATGCGGTCGCGGAGGTCGTTTTGCGACATGCGTGCTGCCTTCTCTTCTTTCTGTTTCTTGATCTTCTTCACCTCGGGAGTGTTTTTCTGCATGCGTTAGACGGGAAGCCGGCAACGTGGTGGACGGTGTACTCACAATGAAGTTGCTGAATTGGTCATTAGACGTATGTGCGCCGGCCACAATGACACCAATAGGATCACGACCTGTGACGATAGTGGTGGTTGCCTTTGGCTTCATAGCATCGTCATTCATCATCTTCATCACATGCTTCGTTTCATCCGTCCAGACAGGGTGACAGTTCAGCTCATGTCGGAATCTGCCGGCGAGGACCGTCTTTTCTGCAGCAGTATAAGTATCTTGCCGTATCCGGAAGTCTCTTGGTCCGCGAAATCACTTACTGGGGATAGCTTTTCGGTAGCGAGGCTGCCATTTCTTTTTGTGCACGCCGTCTTGTTGAATTTTGTCTTCGGACTTCTCCTGGTATTTCTGCTCATGTGCCCGGCGCAGGTGAGGGGGTATATTGTTGTTCGCTCCCTGAGGCTTAGACTTGAACCCGGGGAGGTCTTGCTCGGTGAACATGTAGGTGTTCGGTAGGGCCATATCCTTGACGTCGAGGTTGTACTCCTTCGGGATCGCTTGGTGTTTGGCTTGCGTGTGGTCCAACAACAGTGATATGCATTGCTACAGTATAGAGTTAGGCCCGCAGTCCCAAGAATAGTAGTCAGTCAGCGACGCTCACCTTCGGTTCCCCATTCTTTCCCTTCCCCGGCTCGCTCCACTGGCGCACAGTGCCTATCTGGATCTCGGCATCGTCATCCAGATCGGCCCAGACATCGTAGAGGTATTTCGGGACGTGGGTTAGGTAGATGCTCGCGGCGGTGGTATTCGTGTTAGGATCTAGGTCGACGAACTCCAAGTCGCCAGCATCCTCGTAAAGGTCATCCTCCGACATGGCGGCGGGTGAGGGTCCGACGTCTGCGGGTTCAAGCTTGATGCCTGGTTCAGGCTTGACGCCTGATTCCGGCTTGACGGCGGCCATTTCGACTATCACAGCCGGCCGGCACTTCAATACGCGCGGGAATCAGGCAGGGCAAGGGCAGTTGAGGTCTTCGGGTCTGATCGTCGGCGGGTTTGGTGCTGAGGCGCTGCAACAGAGGTAGAAGAAGGATACTGCAGACACTACCTTCCCTCTGAGGAGGCGCTGAAAGAAGCTCTGTGGAGGAACGTGGTGAATGATGCAAATGGGAGGTAGACAATGGGCGCAGCTCGCCAGCTGCATCCAGCTGTAGGGATAGCATAGCCTAAGGTAAGGTATGGCCCTACCGAAGGGATGCGCCTTTGTTGCACCGGATAATAGAATATCTATGACGTAATCAGGCTTTACAAGAAGCATAGTACTGTTCATAGGATTATGGCAGCTGCAACTGTGGGGATGGATCCGCGATTCCTGATGCTGAGGCTGCATCGCAAAGGCGAAGTAATCCATCCTTCCTTTGATCTGGACTGAACCTTTCGAAACAACAACACTAGAAAACTCGAAAAGGCACAAGACGTCTCCTCATTCTTATCAGCTTGTCCTCTCTATTGCCTCCCAACCTACTCGGCGCCCTCCCACTCGCCATCCATTACCTGCACGCTCGCGCGCCAATAGCAAAAGCAAGGGCTTTCCCCCAACTTCAATACAAAAGATCTGGTGTGACTGAACACAGGCATTACCTATCTTTTTTTTCAACGGTGAACCTCAACAGCCCTCGACTCCTTTTCTATTCACCGCGCCCGTCACGTCACCTCCTTGCGACAACGCCCTGTCACATCAGTTCCAGAGATTATCCCATTTAAATGCGCCGCGCTCCCCATTCCGAAGACCGCTACGGCCGCGATCGGTATCTACGAAGCTACCCCTTCTAACCTCAGATTGAGAATCAGTGCCCTGTCGCAAACATGCCTACACCAGAAGATCAAGAATTGATGGAGCAAATCGCCCAAGTAGCTGGTGTGTTCCACTGTGAAGTGCCTCTTACGCACTTGGAGGGGTCGAGACTAAAAGACCATTCCGCTCACTCACTGACAGGTCAAATCAACCGCCACAAGGCCCATCGCGATGGTCCCGGTAATGGTATATCCGCTCTACCCTGCTGCTAATCTCGTGGCAGTCCACGACCGCTTACCATGTACCAGGCACCAGCTATCCTGCCAGAGGATCCTACCATCGAGCGGCGCCCTACCCCCACACCGGTTATCGTGGTGGACGAACGCGACCAACCACCACATATCGCAATAAGACCTTGGTCCTCAATGGACAATCCCAAGCCGCCTCTGCCGCTTCTCCGACCGAGGAAAACGTGCCCGTTGACCCGACTACACCCTCCTACGTCACGAAAAACGATCGTCATCTCCAGCTGATCAACAAGTCGGTGTACGAGAAGGAGGCTCAACATCGCGCGCAAGCGATAGACCACACAACCCGCCGACAGTGGCTTCAGAGAGACAATCGTGAAAAGGCCCGGTTTATGAATACCATACAGCCACACAGAACAAACTCGGTAGCTGGCCCTCCCACTCCACTCACATCCGCTTCGCGCTATGAGATTGAAGTGGGCGGCGTCCGTTTCCACGTTGTTCAACAGGGAAGCAAGCTTATCAAAGCACCTGGTGCGTAGCGAGTTTCCGAGGCATGGACTATCCCTGCTGACTAAGTGCAGACGACGTCAATCCTCCTTCTGCCACGCCCAAGGAGGCCTTGATAGGTGGCGTCAAGTTTCACCGCACGAAAAACGGCAACCTTGTTCGGCACGGCATCGTGAAAGCCCAACGGTATGTGGTCCCTGTACACCCCGAAAGCGTGCTAACCACGTTCCAGATTGGCTGTTGGAGTCAAGAAGGTCAACGAACAATGCAAGACCTTCGCATGGAACGGTATCGTCTTCCTTATACAAGAAATCGCCCGACTCGCGACCTAAGCAGGGTGCGTTGTGGTAAGATCCCCGGACAATGCACTAACCTTAACTGTAGGATCGTGCCCCAAAGGCCCTACTTGCCGGTATATTCACGATGCTTCCAAAACGGCAGTCTGCCGCGATTGGCTCTTGAAGGGCGAGTGTTTACGAGGCGACGCTTGCGACCTGTCCCATGAGGTTACTGATGAACGAACCCCCCTCTGCATGCATTTCGCAAAGGGCAAGTGCAACAACGCATTATGCTCGTACATCCATGTCGAACATGCTCAGACGGATCCCGTGTGTCGAGCATTCGGCATCTATGGATACTGCGACATGGGCACCAGCTGCCCTGACCGGCACGTATTCGAGTGTCCTGACTTTAGCAACACAGGCATCTGTAAGATGAAGGGCTGCAAGCGGGCGCATATAGACAGGGCAAGTGTCCTGCGCAAAGCAAGCCTCCGTGGCGCTTCAGAAGAGATGGAGGACCTGTCCAGCGACGACGAGGGAGCTGCAGCCGACAGCGACGACGTCGACTCGGATGAGGTTGAAGAGTTCATCCGCAAGGATGATGACGATTTGGATTTCGCAGACCAGAAAGATTTCATCGGTTTCCGATGAAGTCTTGTGGTCTTGACTGACCTTCCAGATGCGTTCGGCATGCATATGCCCCGTCATTGATGACCTACGTGCTTCTACTGCGCAATGGCCGGTGCTCTCTTTGCTTCGTTGAGACCACTTCCCTGCGACTCGAACGTAGATGGGATATCGGAAGGAGTTGGCGTTGGATGGATTGCATGCGTGACAACTGCTTGTGATACCCCTAAGGCAATCTGGATGATTCACTGCGCTCAAGGATTCCATACTCTGCAGATGCTGCAGAAGAAGAAGAACAAGATAAAAAGAACAAAGACAAGATACAGTGTAGAAGGTATTCAATACAAGAGAATTTGCTCTGGCACTTAAATGCTCTTCCCAGGTGAACACAGGAAATAGGGGCTACGACTGGTACGGAGAGCTGAAATGGCGGCGGTGGCTGCTGCGGCTGGACCCGCCACCCGGCCCCTCATGCAACTCACCGGCAGGTCCTTACAGGTACACCTCCCTATTAATACTACAGCCGTGCAGGTCCAGTATGGAGTAGGCACAAGTGAATTGCGGCCCGTTGATGCTAATATGTAAAAGGGAGACCGGCGCTGTGACTAAACAAAGAAACATGACGAAACATCTGTTAGTCCTTCCCAGGCTGAAAGCGCCCATCTTTTTCACCCACCGAGCCACGCCAAGGTTTACTCGAAGGACGGCGCGTAAGCTGGCCTGGAGTAATTCGACGACAAACACCTTACCTAGGTGTACCTACTAAGCATATAGATATATCCTGGCGATTACCAGCCCCACATCAATCAACTTGTTCTTTGAACTCTTTTACTCCCTGTTCGACCCCGAAGACGTGACAATCATCATGGGCATCCGCGACTTGATTAAGAAGAAAGACCGGCTGGGCGACGGCGACGGGGCCTACTCCGAGACGCTGGACAGGCTCGCCGGACCGGAATTCACCTTCATTCGATCGGACACGAACACGCAGGAGATCATATACCCCCCGAGCCACCCGCCGACGAGCCACGGCGAGCAATTCTTGAACGCGAACGCGCGCGACTCGACGTCCAAGGTGCGCCGCAGCCTCGACGTCTTCAAGCCACGATCGCGGGGCAACAGCACATCGTCGGTCCAGGGGGGCGACGCGGCCAAGAAAGAGAAGGAGATGCGCCGCAGCCTGTCGCATCGCCTGCACCTGTCGCGCAACCACCAGGCCACTTCCGAATACGTGCCCGAGAACTTGCCCCAGATCAGCGTCACGACCGACGGCCAGGTCGACAAGGACACGCAGGAGAGGGAGTGGGAGAAGAGGGCTACGATACTGGCGAGCGCCAGCGCCAGCAAGGGCAGATCGCCCAGCGCGTCGCCGTCGGCCTCGCCGGCCACTGAACTGCCCGCGCTGAACTTCTCCAACGGGCCTACGCCGCCGAGAAGACCCGAGGGCGTCGTCTCGACCAAGAAGATCGACGACGACATACAGGAGGCTATCCGATTGCACGAGGATGGGAACCTCGACCAGTCTACGCGGTTATTTGGGCGGCTGGCCGATCCGCGGGGGGCAAACAACCCCCTTTCCCAGGTGTTATACGGTCTTGCGCTGAGGTTAGTGGACGGTCTTCCAGTTACGAGAGCTTCTACTATGCAGCCCCGGTCACAGCGGCAACAGGTTATGGGGCTGTCTCGCTTCACAATACAGAGCTATGGATGGTGGCGAAGCATCTACCTATACAGAGAGGTCAAGCTAACGCTGCGATCACCAGGCATGGCTGGGGCTGTGAACCAGATCCCGAGCGCGCTGTTACGTATCTGTCGGCCGCAGCCTCGAACGCTGCGCTAGTCGAGACCATGGCGCTGAAGGCAGGACTCAAAAAGGGGGGTGCTGCAAAGGGCGAGCTCGTACTCGCCATCTTCGAACTGGCGAATTGCTTCCGCCACGGCTGGGGCATCCCTCGAGATCCAGTCGCCGCAAAGCAGGTGGGTTGCCGTTACAGTTCCCTTCAATGCCAAGTTTTGGGGCAGAGGCTCACTGCCGCCTTACGTGACGATCTGGACGTGTCCATTGACTGACTGCGGCCTTGGGTAGTATTACGAGACTGCAGCAAATCTTGGGGACAGCGGTAAGTGGCCCGGCTTAGCAGGCCATCCTTGGATTGAAGCAGCGGAAGCGAACGTGATAGGCTGACAAGCTCGGTTCTCGGCGTAGATGCCATGAATGAAGTCGCCTGGTGTTATCTCGAAGGCTTCGGATGTAAGAAAGACAAGGTACGTCAGGCATGAAGTGACCTTCTCATCACATCTCACAATCCGGATTCCTGGCCTCGTGTCTCTCTCTGTCCAAGCCTCAAACGACCAGACGATCATGAGGTCAGCCTCACACGATGGAATGTGGCTGTCCAGCTTTTTGCTCCCTTGCCGTCATCATGGGTTCCGGGTGGCTGGGAAGCTGTCAGCTTTTAGACTCGGACAGTCGCGATCACGATCTCACGGTTGGGCATCAACGAGGCTTATTACTGCTCCGGGCAAATCACAACCTGCCGAAGCTCCCAACACCCCCACGGCCCAAAGACAAATCACATGAGGCTGACTCCCTGCTCTCCAGTTTGCATCAGCGCGATATTACCGGTTGGCTGAGCAGAACGGCAATAAAACGCTGGGGAACACTTGGTGAGTGGTCAGATTTTTCCTCCGAACGTCGTATCCTTTCCCCGTTTTTCTTTCCTCGACCTCTCTCGATCCCTCGTGCGTCGACAGCGCAGCTGCAGGGCCTGGTCGTCCCTGCCGCGGACGACTCGCGAAACGAGCATTCGATAGGTGCTCGATTCGCCCGGGCCTCTTAACGCCAGTCGCCTTGTTATCGAGGTCTTCCGTGCGCGGCCATCGAGCGAGTGTTCGTTCTCATTGGCCAATGTTTGCAAACCAGTACGCCGAGCTGGCCGCAGAAGCGGCCGCCTCCTCGACCGATCTCCTACGGGGAAGTCAAACGAACCAACCGAAAGTGGCCTCTTACACCGAAAAACCATGTCACCTCCGTTCCCTATAGGCTCCCAATTCCCTGGTGTCCTTGCTTGCTTGTGTATCTTTTAATGCCGCAAAAATTACACCGTCTTGTCCTGTCCTCCCTCTCTCGCCCTTGAATTCTGCCGAGCCGAGCCTTTCTTTCTTCGCCTGCCTGCCCTATCCCGTGTGTGCCCTACTCGCTAGCTACCCTACCCTACCCCGTCCGCGTGCAGCGTCACTCACAGACCATGGTTACATGCAGGATTTGGAAGGATAAGTACAATCCTACCTCGGCCGGCGGGAAGAAGAAATAAGGTGCAGGCAGCCCGGCGCCTTCCCTTCGACCTTCGATTGGGGGCTTCCAGGTTCAATGAGAGCCACCCGATTCGCTCGGCGCGACTCGAGTCCCCTTTGGCTCTGGAAGCAGCACCTGTGCGAATCTCTGTGTTCACCACATGCCCGAGATCGTCCGCCCTGGCACTGCATCGGATCGCATCGGGGCGACGCGCCAGTATGTAACAGCTAAGAGAGAGCTGCAAGAGAAGGAATGGAGGAGCATGCATGCATGCATGCTAGAAATGCAGATATCCCTCTAGCAAGAGGAGGACGACAGCAACTGGACTGGCTCGGAATGCCCCTCTGGAGGGGCGAATGGGACGATGGGACGAAGAAGGGATTTTGCTTACATGATGCAGGCGTTTGGGGTTGGGGTTGGGGTTCGGGTTGGTGTGCCCTGTCACTGTCACTGTCACTGTTATCCATAAGCGTTGTTCGTGCAGCGTTCGCTGCATACATGCGTCCTTACTCTATATACCTGTGCATGGTTCTGGAAGGATGAATGGATGCCCAGGTGAATCTTTGGTTCTTTTGTTTTTTTTGTGTATGTAGGTCATATGTACCTCGTGCGTGTGTGTGTTTATGCATTGTGGGGGACTGCGGGCTGGGGGCGACGGGAAGGGGAACGGGGGTGGGAAAAGGGGAGGGGACGGCGGTTGGGTTTAGGAAGGTATAGGTAAGGAGCTTTGGTAGGCAGCTATCGGAGTGGCGTGTCCTGCTTTGGTATTTGTTCATATTACCTCTACATAGAGCTTGTGACTTGGTGTGTGATAGTCACCTAGAGTGAGGTGCCTTTATTGGAAACTGATAATCAGCCTTGGCTCTTCCCATCCATTCATGAGTGCAATATTGAGCTTACCTCCTGTCGCGCATTGGCACCTCTGCAGCCCGTCTATAGAGATTGACTGGTCGTCTTACGTACGTCTGCTAGACTACTACATGTATCTCGCTCAAGTTCGAGTCGGACAGGCGAAAGGACCTGTGGATAAGTGGGGAAGATAGAGACCAGATGTTGTACTTGTTGAGTGGTTGCTCGAGAAGGGCTTGTCGTGTTCATGATGGTGTAGGGCCTGACTGAGCGCATCAGCACCTGCTCTAGTTCTCATCCAAGTCTGGTAGATAGGATCGTATGTGGTAGGATACAGTGCTCACGTCTCGTTCTGGGAGTGGGGCACGAGGCTGCGTGCGTTTGAGGCAGGCTTGGATGACTCAGGGGGGTTAGTTCAGTATAGGAGTCCTGTGTCTACTACACCTCTCCTACCTGATACTCTCGAGGCCTCGTTAACCATGACTCTCGGAGGCCTTAACCCGTCATATCACTTGTTTGATTACCTTGGAGTCTCTTCAGATTGGGGCTAGATTGCTGGACTTACATGAGAGACTGGCCCAGAGACACTACAGCAAGGAAGCGATCACACAAGAAACTTGACCATGGCGTTTCTACAAGGCTTTCTTCGTGTGATATAAGCTTATTACGGGTCAGGTAACCCATCAATGCCTCCTATTGCCTGCCTCCTTTCCTGCGTGTATCACGCACACCATGTAACGCCCACGGGCTGTTTGGTCCGGTCCGAAGCCGCTATACCGTCAGCTCAAGCAGTTCTTTGTATGCCGGTTACGTGGGTATAAACGCCGGCACTTTTATATATAATGGCACTGCAGCGGCTCCAGATCGAGTCAGTTGCCAGAGCACACAGCCTAGACAGTCAGCTCCTAGATACGATGTCGATCGTGAACAGACCAATGCTGTACCAACCAGGCCGCGTACCTTGTGCTCCTCCGAGTCACGAGGACATTTAACTTCCCACTGCTGGTCCTACAAGATACGGCTTCTAGAACCAGTCTCGACTCCCCGTGCGACTCGACCCCCAGCCTTGTCTGCATATAGGGGTACAGAGACGGCACCGGGGAGGTACAGGCCAAGGAATAGGAGTAAGATTGGATTTAGCACCGCGTATTCGTCCGCTATTACCCTGTGTTTCGCTATTGTGTACCGGTATCTCTCATGCGCAGACGGGTGCGCGGGGGGCTGGACGTCGCATGTTGAGTACGTGGGTGCTTCGATCGGGAGGGACGATGTCACGTCGCTGTTCAGATCGCCGTCCACGCTCAGAGGGACGGGGCCAAGGAAACTACTTATACAGTATATTGTTGATCTTACTCGAAGGCACCGCATCGTCAGACGACATTAGCTAGCAGGTCCTCGACGGAATGGTAGGTTAGCTGATGATCTGATCTCGTGTAATGTAAGCAGAGAGAAGCAGTGTAGCAGTGAGTGCTACTGGCAAGGCATGCTCCAGAAACCGGGCATAATCATCGACGAGTACAGTCCACCGTACACAGTTGACGAGTTTCACGACAATGAGCCTTGATCTCCGAAGCTATATCTCATTCGCAGTGACTAGAAAGTACCTGCATATCAAAGGCCAGAGGTCACGTGCAGTGCAAGCTAATGACGGTGAGAAAGGTAGCCAGACCGCGCTGTTGGTGCTTGTTACACAGCGGCCGTGGAGGCACGATGCGGAGGTGTTTTAGGGAGACATGTGTCCTGCGTGTTACTGCGCCGCGCACGCTTTCTTTATGTGACCTATGGACGCGAGAGAGGACGAGGTAGAGATGATACTGATAGAAAGGTGGCAGATGAGTATGGGATATGGGTAAAGGAGGTGTCGCCGCCGTCACATAGAGGGTACCTTTCTCGTATCAAGATCTGCCATGTATTATGATGGGGTTTGTCAGTGTATATGTGGGCTTTGAGGCTCTTACACAGTACCAGAATGGCATACTGACCAGTAGCATACTCGGAAAAACGACTATATGGCTTCTATCTATTAGAAGCAGCCGGGGTGGACGCGACCCTGGAGTACCACATGCTGGTGGTTTCGAAGAAGGTCCGATAGACAGATCAGATAGGTGAACACTGCTTATCTGATGCTGTCTGTCTGCAGGATGGCCGACTGGATGGCTACCAACAGCTGACGTCGGCATTTCTCCCCATGTGTATGTAAGTATGTAGATCACAGCTAGCTAGCCTGCCAGCCAGCCAGCCCAATGCATCACAGCAACTTATCTCATCTTGTACCGAGGTAAGATGGTGAGCCCAATCTAGTCTCATGAGTGCTTTGGTGAGTATAAACCGGCAATGTAAGTGGAAAAGCTAGTCACGCTCGCATGACTATGTCAGATCGATTTACTGCGATGTTTCCACCTCACACCCCCTTTTTCCAGTTCGAGGCTTACCTGGAGTACGCACAGAGCCTATCTAGTATACAGAGGGTGAGCCATACCTGCGCACAGTATGGTACCCTCCCCCTTCCGGACCAAAGCCAAGCCCACCCTCTCCAGAAGCGCAGCCTCTTCACCTTCTTTCGGCAGTATCGAGGTCGAGTCTGGACGATACCACATCGTATCCGGTATCACTGGAGGAATCGGCTTCTCGTTCCGTCATCTAGGTCGTGGGGGAAGTTGAAGCCTACTGATTGATGTAGCCATGGGTCACCTGGAGTCGATGCTGCATGCAGGCTGGAGGTATACGCGGCATATCATATATATATGCCTAGAGATAGTTACCTCGGTCAAATGTGTAACGCCTTACAGTGGATTATTCAGAAACCAGGTGACACTCAGGGGCCCCCGTTGGCTACATGAAGTGAATCATCGATCCTCAGCGGATTTGCAGGTGAAGGGGGCACCAACCTCTATGTATAGCCAGCCTAAGTTATATGCTAAACCCTCACTACTGCATGTCTCTGTCATTCTTCATCTCAAAAACCAGGGTGACTGAGACACAAGATCACCTAACTTGGTAATCTGCACCTGTGAGTGGTGTCAGGCTTGGTGTGGTGTGTGGGGGTGGAGAGAGAGAGGGAGGAGGGAGGGAGGGGGGTTGTGAGGTGTGGAGGTGCTGCGTCACGCCACACCCTTTTCCCCATTCCCCATGTCCCAGCCTGCCTCGACTGTCAGTTACCATTACAGTATACTACACGGTCCTTATCACGTTTTCTCACCCACATACATACTTAGCTCCGGACTTACTTGCACAAGTCAGTTACACTACTGGTAACGCGGTTGCAGCAACGCAGCGACGAAGCACGACGACGACATCGCCCTTGCCTTCGCCCGTACCTACTGGACTCTACACAACCCGACAACTCCCGCGACAGCGATGATGTGGCTTTTTGGAGGAGGAAAGTGTCGGCATTACTATCTAGCATCAAGCACCCAGTATCCATCAAGCCTACTCCCACTTATTTCCCTCTTAAGCCAAGTCCATCCGAGGACGCCACGAGCAGACGACCAAATGGCAGGTAGCGAGAAGCTTGGCGGTAGCATTCATTGCCTGGCAGACCAGAGTTGAGAATTGGAGGTAACAGGATGGACCATGTTGCACTGCATCTACTTACTTATATTACCGCCTGCGATATGTATGCCAGCCAGCCAGCTGACGTGCCATCTATATGTACAATGTGAGATCGCGTGCAGGGCCCCGGGGCTTGGCGGGCCTGATCCTAACCAATTACTTCCTTTACTAATGATCTACCGTACTACGCACATCCGGCACCAGAGGACGGAGGATAAGGTAACAAATAGGAAGATGTGGGATCTGGCTGAGGGAGGACTTCTGGGGCGAAGGGAGGACACGCAGGGTATATGCCGGGATAAGGTAGAGAGCATACAGGCCATAATCGTATATGTAGGTAGATAATGAATTGCGTCGCGTGCTCGGTATCGGGTTGCGTTGGTGCCTCACTTAAGAGTCGCATGCCCTCCGTCGAACGGGACGGCAGGTCCACGATGAGGGCTGATGTCAGGGGATGCAGGTAAAAATGGCGGAATTGTTGACGGGACGAGTCTGCTTTAGGCAAGTGGAAACATGAACCCGAATCTTACATGCATACATACGTACCTACGAAGGGTGTTCGCATATGCATGCATGTACGAGAGATTCGGATCGTGGGTCGGACACACGTCAAGCACTAGAAGGGAAATCAGACTCGGTGATGAGATTCGAGTTCTTGGCCTTTATCTTGACAGTTTTCGTCGTCGACGCTAGCAGGGTTTTAACTAAACTACAAGACGCAATGGAATAAAGGTAACGGTATCGTTGTGTAGACAGTAGTGTGTGGTCGGTCAAACGACCATGATGCGCAACTACCACCGTCCATCCATGCCTTGCCCCGTTTCCCACTTCCTCTCTCATCAGCTGCTGGTAAGCTCGTCTGGTTGGTCCCTCGACTGTTGTTCTGCTTGTCTCTCTTGTCTCTGTGGTCCATGCTCTCGTCATCTTCAAATTCGTTCAGTGTCGTTGCGCCGATGAGTCGACCATCGGCGTCTTCGTTGGCATTCGTGCGTGGGGCTTGGGTAAAAATCAAGAAACATGAAACTGTCCCCTGACTTGGGAGGACGGGCGCGATCCGAACCGTTCGTATGTCGTGAGACATTATCTCGTGGATATCCCATTCCGAGAGAAAACTCCCAAACCCGCCCTGTGTGCTGTGATGTGCTGTGTCTGTGTTTCTCCCTCCCCCTATGCCCGTGACCATTGTACAAGAAATTTGCCGGCTTCGAGCCCTGGCTCGCCCACATCCTAAATTGCTGTTCCCCCCTATCGCCGTTCTCGCCATGCAACTACCCAAAAAAGTTCCACAGGCTGGTAGATAGGTAGGTACCGACATGTTGACACATCGGACCGGACCGGACCAGACCAGACCGGGAAAAGGAATCACCGGATGAAAATTGGACAGGTAAAACTCAAAATGCTGGCTCGCTTGCTAAATCGTGGACACGGAAAGGATCGATCAATTGAGACAGACAGTAGCAGATTGGAGAAGGTTTCGGTATTGTGCGTGAGCTGTACTGAGTCTGGTTTGCGCGGGAGCGTCGTGGAAGTGTATGTATGGGCAAGGGTACCGAAAGGGTTCAAAAACAATAAGTCGTGGTTCGAGAACTTTGGGGAATGCCAAAGTCTTCTTCATTCGTGAAGATCGTATATCGTGGTCATGATTCGTCAAGAATGTCCGTCGTTGCAGTGTTGTGGTTGCCCACTGTTGGCGCCGTTGCACTCCGCCACCATCTTGGCGAAGTTCCTGACAACGTCGCCGGGTATCTGATCCCACAGGAGAGATCTCGTGTATACCTCCGCCGCCGATTGCTTCTCGTTGTTGCGCATGTTGGAGAGTGCCTCGGCTAGGTTCCGCCGGCCTTGGCTAGTTGTGCGATGTTGGGGAGGCGGAAGGAAGTCCTGAGAGTTGACGCCGTTGTACTGCGCCGGTGTCATGGAGAAGACTTGCTCGTTGGTTTGCTGCTCGGTCGGCTGAGTGAGGGAGTCGGCGAGGTCACCAAGCATGGATGGTGCTACGCCTTCCATGCTATTTCCTGCCATCGGCATCGAGGCTGTCGATGCCCAGTTGGCGCCGGACGGTTGAGGAGCAGCAGGTCCCATGTTGTCGGGAGCATGAGCCACGCCGGCATCCTTGAAGATGTTGTCAAGTAGCGTGGCTGAAGCTTCTCGCACATCTTCCGACACTCGCGGGATAGCTGGAGCAGACCGGTTGGACAGTACGAAGGCACCGACGAGGAAGAGCATGAAGAGCAGACCTCCCTGGGTACCTGACTTCTCGACGTCGGCGGGAAGGGCGACCTCGGTCTTCTTGGTATGGACGAGCTGGAGCTCTTGCTTGACCTCCTGCTCGACGGGGTGATACTCTCCCATGAAGCCCATGTTGTCCCAAGGCGCATCCATGGTTAGGCCTTCCATCTCATTGAAGCCGTTGGAAAAGCCAGCGTTGCTGGGCATGGCGGCATTCTCGAGTCTCTGCACGTGGTCTGTCAGGATGCTGACCTTTTTGCGCAGCTCACCAGTCTCCAGAGTGTGAGTCTGGACCATATTCTCCTTGTCCACCATGAGTTGTTCAACGGCATCCTGATACATGTTTTTCTCGCGCATAAGTTCAGATAGCTTGAGGTTGAGGTCGGCAATGTCGTCTTCCATGTTGGTGATGAGAGTAGTGTACTGCTTCTTCTCATCTTCCAGCCTCTCCGTATGCATCTTCTTCCTCTGTCTGGAGTCGAGGGCCGCTTGCCGATTGCGCAGAAGGCGTTTTTGCTGTTTCAATTCCTTGATCTCCTGGTCGTCCTGTGACTGAGATATCAAGTGATCGATGTTGGTGAGGTTGCGCTCGGCGGGAATGTCGAACCTCGCATTCTTCTTGCGGATCCCATCTCCACGGCGCAGCTCGTTGTGTGACCGGATAGAGGGACTGCCTGGACCCATGCGCTTTGCCATTGCTTGATTCTTGAAGTCACCCATCCAATCCTTCTGTGGTGAAGTCGGAACCGACGAGTTGCTGGGGCCGACAGTAGAGAACAGTGGAACGTGTGCGCCAGGGTTGCTGAAAGGCGTTTGCATCGGCATGGGGCGTTGGAAGATGGAGGTGTTGCCGTCATATGTAGCCTCGAGCCCATCATATTGCAACGGTGTGCATGCACCTGAGCCCTGGCCCATCGACCATTGCTGATTTTGGGAGGCGTACGAGGTATGCGACTGATCAGCTCTCGTGAAGGGGTTGGTGTTGTTTTGCGGCTCCAGGAACGGGTTGTTTGAGGGGAGTGATTGCATGTCGACCGAGTGCCAGTCTTCGGTCTTCGGGGAGAACAACGATCCTGCAATAGCAAACGAGTCTCTGCGGCTGTCCGCCATGGGAGGCGACATCTCTAACCCCGAGTCGAGAGCGCTTTGGTCCAGAATGCTGTCGTCGAGTATGCCGCTGTCTTCCTCGTCGAAGTACTTCTGCGCATGTGCTGTGTCGACGGTCAGAGGGTTGGGCCGGTAGTAAGCCTGCATCTGAAATGTAGAGGCCATTGCTGGTCTTTGTGTGTAAATGTGGGGAGAGAAGTGAAGATGATACTCGTGCGCGAGTATACAGTCTTGTCGAAGAGGTCTGCTGAGCTCTGCAGGATGGGTGTTAGTGTACAGAGCGGTGAGTCGATATCAGCGAGGACCGCAGTTGCGCCGCTGAAGGAACAAAGCGCGGTTTCGTCCGATGATGGATTGGGTTCTCAACCCAGATCAAGAGGGTGTATGTAAAGGTGATGCTATGTGAGAGACAATGGGAGGGGGGAGGTCTCAGAACTCGGGTAGGATAAGATGCAGCCCCGTGAGTGATAAGGCCCAAGAGAGGTTGGTGGGCAGCGGTGGCGGTGGTGTTGGTGGTAACTTGAGGTGATATGGTGCTGCGGTGGTGGGGGACTGTGCATGTGGGCGTGTACATGTAGATATGTATGTAGTAGTATAGGTAAGGTAGGCGAAGGCAATGTAATAATAAGACACGGCAGGGCTTGAAGCGGGAGAGCCGGCCTTTTTCAAATGAAAGGAGAAGGTGGGAAATCCGTTTCGACTTACACCTCTTGTCCGTCTTCGTCGGCTGTGTCTAACAAGCGCAGATGGGATGCGCGCTTGGAGTTCGGGATCTTTGATTTAGTTTCGACCCGTTTTATCAATGTAAAACAGAGCGGGTGTAAATAGAGGCGAAGTCGTAGGACTAAAAAAGACGCTGGCGGACGCTGTCATGTAATAACAACAACAGTGTGTGAATTTGTAGGGCCGAGATCGCGTAAACCGACGATGTCAACAATAGATAGATGCTTTTGGTAACCTTGAGGTCAGGTCGGGGGCGGTAATGGACGGGTGGAGGAATCTCGTGGTACTTGTAGAGGGCAGACGGCCAGGTCTGGCAGTGCGGTCAGGTTCTTGTGACTCCCAGGATTTCGAGACTGGGCTGGCGGGCGGGCGGGTTACGGACGGGGGTTACCAAAATAATGCCATGGCAGTGGGGAAAGCGAAGCCCATGAGACTCCCGGCTGACGAACGGGATATGGAATGATGGTGTGGGAGCCTGGCAGGAGGACGGACGGTGACCTGGGAGTGGGTATTGGCCATTAACGGGGTTTACCAGGGTACGGCAGCGAGAGGGATGCCGTTCCGGTTCAATGGTGATCCTCAACTGAGGAGCCAAGAAGTACCCGTCTCCACCGCCTGATCGACTGGAAAAGTAGGTGAGCGACTGTTTATTATTGCGTCTGGCTCTCTTGTCTTTTCGCTTCTCGCTCCTCCTGATCCTGCTCCTTCTCTGCACTCGCCACATCATGTATGTACGCGTGCAGGACGTTCCAATACACACAGTACTTATTACGGTACTAATAAGGAGAGGGACAGTGAGAGAGCGCCCGCCATGGGGTAACGGCAGAGGTGACGAGAAACCTGACTAACCGAGCGAAACAGTGATGGTAGGAGGGTAGTACACAAGTAGAGCTCCGTCTAGGACCCTAGGTCAGGGACTGGCACCTCACGTACGTATGGTACGACTAACAGACAGGTACAACTGGACTGGGCTATGGTAGGGCAGCAGAAGATGTACTGCGTACCCGTAGGCGTGTGCAGTAGAACGACGCCGTTGGATCGCACACGCCCTTCCCGCCAGGGGGCGCGACTGGGTGAAATGGCCGGAAATGCCGCTACACTAACGGGATGGAGTCCAGCCAGAAGAGGCAGAGGAACGAGAACAAGCGAATGCTCTCCCGAAACGGTCGCACCCTGTGCAGTGTGTGTGTACATATGAGTGTCTGGTGTAGTATCTGCGCGCGCGCGTGTGTACACTGATAGATACATAATATCTGTATGTGTGAGCCCGAGAGTGGGAGAAGCCACCGTCTGCGAGAAAGCCATAGGCTAGGGAGCGTTGGCCCTGCCGAGGGTTGGAGGTTGGGCATCGACGGCCTTTTCTTTGGGTGCGATTGATACCTGACACTGACAGGTCTTGGTACGTACCGTGCAGCCACACCACACCCCCCTCCCCTCTCCCCCAGGACCAAGAGACGCCCACGAGCCCCCTCTGCGCACCCGCTGGCAGCCACTGGCAGCCATATCGAGCTTCTATTGCTCAGCTGGTGGTGGGCTGACAGCTTGACAGGAGACCGCTGCCAGGCACTTCTACCTACTCGCACTTGCGAGGGGAGCATACCGGATCGGCCGATACGGGCAAACGGGTAGACTAGTCCAGCGCCGGTCCAAGGTCATTTTCCAAGCTCAGTATCGAAGGTCACGCTCGTGAGAAGCGGACTGAGGCTGTGATGGGCACAGCGAGTATGCCGAATCGCAGACCAGAGGAGGCTTGCGATATCGTTGATGCGATGGTGCAAAGCGCTGCCGTAGTGGGAAGACGTAGATACCACCCATCCTGCCAACCAACGGCTGACTGCCGGGAGGTCGGCGACTAGGTTCGGCACAAGCCTGCAACGTCCGGCGCCTGCTTCTCTCACTAGCCCGTGTCACATGATTTTGTGACCGAGATTGGAGTTCAAGCTGCAGTGAAGAGCTCAGTGTTTGACGTTGCCCACGTGGAACCCATATGAAAGTCTGACTACAGATGGAGGCTCTCTGGCAGACATGCGGACCGATACGCGGACATGCCCGCCTGGAGGTTTGTTCAGTGTTCAAGCTGCTCCTGGTCTCCAGACCATAGCTTCCGCTCTACTCTACCACGATGCCGAGAACGGAGCGAGAGCGTATCATCCAGCTCCAGGCTTGCTTATTAGTTTGTTGGACAAAGCCTCGCTGGAAACTTCGTTGGACGTTGCGGATGGGGTTTCATCAATCCTTTGTCTGTGTTCAATGTTCATCACGGTTGCCCGTGGTCACCTCTGCAATGGGGCTTGCCCACTGCACAGATCGGCAGCGAGACCGGGAGCCTGGAGTCGATCTCTCATCTCTCATCAGTAACCCGTGCCCCTCACAAGTCTCAACCCGATTTATCGATCATCGTAGATATCCATAACTACTGAGTGTTGCTCATTTGATGAATCTCATGCGATGCTTCTGTCTTCTACGATCGTGGACTTGCGGTGACCCAGTCTGAGAATCTTTGGCGATCCACCCTGCAAGCTCCTGCTTTTCTTGCGGTGAACACAGAACAGGAGGCCAAAAAGGTCCAAGCTCCGTCAAATCGGGGATGAGTCTTTGTTTTCGGCATAATGAAGGATGAGCACAGACGATGGAGTCCCAAGGCTGATGGGGCCCTGTAGGGACCTTGTTGACGGGCGGGTCTTCCGGGAAGCCTTGGAATCGGGAATTTTTTCGAAGCGAGAGAAAATCCCCTGGCACAACCAAGGTCACCCCAGCCTCGACTTGAGAGCTTAAAACCTTCAGCCCCGAGCTGGGGACGTCAGCTTTCATCTGAACGATCAGGGACGAGCCCGGGTGTCGCATGATCGAGGGGGATCTTCGGAGGCACGGCGCATGATAGCCTCTCCCCAGCTTTGATCAACTGCTGCGCCAGGCCCGTCCGATGTGCGCGTCCTATTGTAGTTATGGGAAGATTTTCAATTGGGATCGCCCGACGAGATCGGACGACCGGAGCTGCGGAGGACGAAGAAGTCGAGGCTAGAATAGAGGCTAGAAGGATCGAAGGTTTGTTGACGATAACCCGTTGAGGGCCGGCTTTCAGACCTCGTGTAAACAACACTCGTGAGCATTGCGGTTTTCTCTGAGCCACTAGCTGGTCGGGCGAATCGCTGATTCCCTACAGGGCGGCACCGAGTCGAACCAACAGTGATATGTTGATGGGCCGGTGCGCCTTATCAAATATCGTAGTCTCCGTAATATTTGCACAAGCTTGATATCATACGCGAGCGCGTAGATGGGAAGCGCAAAGCGTGACGGCAGACGAAACGAGCACTCGCTCGCCCTGCCGAACTGATTGGCTGCGAGTAGTCGCGCGACCTCTGGAGACTGGCGGTCATCGGTCAGGTCTCCGGATACTTGACCTTTCCTTGGCGCGTCCATCTATCTGTTTCTGAATTGCGAGAACAATCCAAGTTTGACGGCCGGCAGACTTTCCGGCCCAAAACAAGGAAGCGCGGGCAACGCTCCAGACTCAGAAGAGCATCGTGTGTTTCGATGACGCATCTACCTACAGCTTCAACCACCAACTTGTTGGCTGGCCACTGGGCCTCTCGGTCTAGCTACGATACCACGCCGCACGACAAAACAACAAGTTCGCAGCTTGGGGGGAGGAGGGCGGATTCGTACCACCCCTCACCGACTGTGGAGGTGTATTCCCGAAATACCTAGAGCAGGAAGCTCCAGCACTTGGCTGTCCAGCCTGGGATCTTTCCAAACGGATCCTCGTTAGGCACGAACTGCAGTGTGATAGCGGGCCGGCTTTTATGCGGCCAGTCGCCCCAGTGATTAATCACATCCCCTCCCAGTACGATCAGAGGGTCGAAAGAAGGAGAGCGAGTTCTTGGCTTTGCACACGAATCCTGGCACATGGCATATGGCACATGGGCGTGTTTGCGCCGAGGGGAAAGCTGTCAAGAGAAGGACGCCCAAGATATGTGTGTGTGCCTGTTTGAGGAATCCATGGCCGAAAATGGCACGGGCTGTAACCAGCGGTGAGCAGCATCCTCCTGGCCAACCGGCCTGTCTTATTGGTCCCGATACAGCAGGCACGCAGTCAACACGAAACCTCCATGTCTGCCCAAACAATCAAGATTGAGGATATACTGGATCATGCCTCTTGCCTTGCTTGCAAGAGGAATACGTATGGTTTCTGATTTCATGCAGTGATATGAGGTCAGCTTTGGTGTGTGCCGTCAGCTGTTCGGGTTGAGAGGAATCTATCGCCGTTTAGGCTTGGACCAGTCGCAGTATTCTGGTCTTCCAGATCTCCACACTCGTCCCCTGGAGCTCTGCGTGCCTAGTGTGTGAGTAAGGTGCCTTTTTTCTACCTGACCAGCCGCCTGTGACATCACGTGCGACCAGCTTGCTGCTTGTCGAACGCTACTCCTGCCGAAGCGCTAGATAGGAGTCATCATGACTGACACTCTCATAGTGCCCAACGTGAATACATGTGTTGGTATAGACTGCTTCATTGTTGCTTCATTTTGCTTCCCAATCTACGTCACGACACCGTTTTTTCGGATACGTCGAGGCTGAAGTTGACGTTTGCTCCTGTTGAGTAAGCCAAGCCTCATCCAACATGGCGGTGTAAAACCGACCGACCGGAACGCTGCCAAGCTGTCCGCTGGACCAGGGATTATATTTGATAAAAACAGATCCCAGGTATACGGTCGAATCCTCCGGACAGCTCCTGGCCTGTCGTCCCATGGCAAGTGAAGCATTCTGAAACACTTTTTTTGCCCAACTGAACATCCGCCAAAGCGCCTCCCCACCTTGAGTTACGTAGGGCAAGGTGGAGTTCTGGAGCCGGGACCGCTATATATCAAAATATCCACGGGATCTTGGAAGTGCCAGCGTTGCCATCTCGTGCCTTGCACGTTGCGGTGAAAGGTGAAAGGACTCGTGCAGTTCCTTTGGAACGGCGATGCGAGGAAGAAGCAATTGCCTAACAAGGGATACGCACCCAAAATAGAAGGAGAGATGGGTAGGAGACCCTCGAAGGAGTGACAGCATCGAGGTACTACACCGAGAGGATGAATGGGTCAGCGGTTAGGTGGAGCTCATTCAAAAAGAGTCAGCCAGGGACGTCAGTAGGAAAGAAAGATGCGGTGTGGCGAGTCGATTCGCCAACCCCCAGCGTCTCTAAATCCTCTGTAATCACATCCAGGTTCAAGGCGCTTTGGCACAAATCCCTTGACTGCCTCCAGGCAGTGAAGCAGTCGGGAGCCCGGTCATTGAAAGTCCCACATCTTGACGAGGAGATTGTCATCGACTCCTGATGAAGGATCCTGAGGCAAGAATACTCTCTTGGGTATCATGAACTCCACGACAGGAGGCTTCTTCACCTGTTTCGATAGTTCGGCTTCGAGAAGCTATGTTTCCGTTAATGATACGCCTGGTTTGCTGAGCATTGGGATCATGAACTTACACTGCTGTATGAATGATCCAAGAAATCCTCAAGGTTGTAACTCGGCCTAGTGAACTGCTCGGAGATGATTTTCGCGATGGTTGCTACGTTGGGGTGGAAGTGACTCTGCAGCTGCACGACTTCCCACAAGCAACTATCAATGGCTCGTGTCTCTATAGGATCTTCTTCGTCGGCGATGAATGGATCGTCCATTCCTTCACTTTCCACACGTGCCTTCTCTTCCGGACTGCGCATCACACGATGAATCATGAAGGTCTGCAATAGTTCGTGTCAGTGATTTCCATTTCAGCTAATTGGGCAAACATTTGAGAGTTCTGAATGAAAGTGCACCATGACAAGAAGGGCAGAATAGTTTGAGCTTACGCAGAGGGGATGCCGTTTGAACAAATTGTATATCCAAGGGATAACAACCACAATCGCAGCAGGCGGAGCATTGACACACAGGGTGGCCATTCTTTTTATGAAGCTCGCAATCATCACCGCTGGAAGACTGTAGTTCGTGTCAGTAATTGCTTCTCAGGAGCAATGACATAACTTTCTGGAGCAAGCAGGCTATCCGAGACCTCACACGGGCTAGAACAGGTAAACCGGGACTCGAGGTGTCTGAAAGGGGTATGAGATAACTCAAGAAGTTACTTACTGGGTCGAGTTAAGGAAGGTGTCTAACAGCCGGATGGTTTTGTTCCTGTGTTTCGAATGAAGGAAATCGGAATCTAACAGTGCGTAGCATTTCCGATAGAAAGATGGATAATCAAGGTTTCGCTTCGTGATGAGGTAGAAGACGCCCGACAGAGCCAGCAAGGAGGTAGCGCCTCCGCTGTTGTACGAATCGGTGAGGAAGTCCATCAAGCGCTCCGGCTGAGGAAACCAAGGCACTATAGATCTGGTCATGATCTCTAGCACCTTCTTCCTTTGTTGGCGATTGGGTTCGAGGTTGAGCACAGCGAGCCAAGCCCCTTGAGCTTGCTTCTTTTGCTGATTGAGTGACATGGCCGGATTACTCTTCTTGGTCGATTCAACGTACAAGTCGCCCAGGTCTTCAGCACTGTCAGGCACCTCCAAAGATGCCAACAAGTTGAAAGAACTGTCGAACAACTCTTCGTCGCCTCGCGTCGAAGACTCTCCAGATAGAATGTCCCTACGCCAATATTTAGTACCGTTGGTACCCAGCTGATCAATGATTGCCCGCCTACCTTGATGCCTTGAATGTATAGTAGCGAATATCGGCGAACCCTGCCATGAACTTTTCGCAAAACTCCTGTCGGACATCTTCTGATCCCTTGCGAACCAGTGCCTCCACAATCTCTTTCAAAAATGCATTGGGGAAGCTAGATTCGCTCTTGTCGCCGGCGGCTTGACCGTCAGCCTTTAGGATGCGCATGGCCAGAGTCAAGGCTGTCGATGCAGACTCTTCGTCGGCCAGGGTAGCGACAATAATCTGTTTGTAGTCGCTGAGCCTACTCCTAAGCCATTTCACGATGACAACATCCTTCACCGACTGTCCCCCTCTCCTCTTCAAGCTTCCAGACGCAAGCAGTCGCAGGAACACTCTGCACAGGGAGACAGCTGCGAACAGGGCCGAATCTGTATCATCCGTCTTCCGCGCAAGCTCCAAAAGGGTCGCGATGTTGTTATAGTTCTTTTTGGATTCGAGGATCTCGCTTTCGAGGAGCAGGATCTCTGTCTGGGGGTTTTCGTCTTCGTCGCTGCTTCCGGCCCTCGTCCGCTTGTTCGACTGTTCGGAGCTCTTGGTGCGCTTCCTCTTCAAGGAGTCATCCTTGACCTTGACGGTTCCCGGCATCGTGAAGACAGACGTATGCGATCGCGAATGTTTGGCGGCTGCCGGATATTGCGTAGTTATCCTTGACAGCGCAAAATAAAAAAAGAGGAATTGTAGCCTCGAGGGGCATGGGCATGGGCATGGGCGAGAGGGCGCAAGGCTGACCTGCAACTGGGATTTTAGTCGGGAGGGCCCCGCTAATCACGTGCGCTCTCAGCCAATAGCAATCGCTCATTGAAGCCGAATTAAAACCTCATCTTCAATTCCGAGAAGCTCCTGTAGTCGACCGGCCAGTAAATAGTTTCATCCCTCAACGACCCTGCCACCATCACACCCTCTCATCATCTCACAATGGCCTCCCGCGTGGCTACACGTGCCTTCGGTAAGTCGATGCCCGGCAGCAGTTTTGGAAGGGTCAATTGGCGTCTGGGGGAGCTCAACTGACGACAACCTCGACGTAGGGGCCGCCCGCCTGCGACCGACGATCAGCACACGCAGCCTTCCCGCCGTGACGTCCCTAACCGCGACCCGACCGGCGTCATCGTCGAACGTGCCGCAGGAGCAGCCCAAGGTGAAGGCGCAATCCATCATCGACGCGCTGCCCGGCAGCTCGCTGGCCTCCAAGACGGCGATCCTGTCCTCGGCCGCCGGCCTGTCGGTCTACGCCATCAGTAGCGAGTACTACGTCGTCAACGAGGAGACGGTCGTCGCCTTCGCCCTGCTCAGCGTCTGGGCCGCCCTCATCAAATACGGCGGTCCCATGTACTCGGAGTGGGCCCAGGCCCAGAACGACAAGATCAAGGGCATCCTGAACGCCGCCCGCGCCGACCACACCCAGGCCGTCAAGAACCGCATCGACAACGTCCAGCAGATGGGTGGTGTCGTCGAGATCACCAAGGGTCTGTTCGAGGTTTCCAAGGTAAGAGCAGGCCATACATATACATATGGATCACGCGTGGGATGATGTTGCGGTTGCAGATGGACGAATTGGGATGGACGGAAAGACCGAAATCAAGCGCAGAGGCTGACGGGAGATACACAGGAAACCGCCCAGCTCGAGGCCAAGGCGTACGAGCTCGAACAGCAGACCGCTCTGGCACATGAGGCCAAGTCAGTATTGGAGTCGTGGGCGCGATACGAGAGCCAGGTCAAGATGCGTCAGCAGAAGGAACTCGCCGAGAGCATCATCGCCAAGGTTACGAAGGAGCTTCAGAACCCCAAGGCCCTTCAGCAGATCCTTCAACAGAGCGTCGCCGATGTGGAAAGTGAGTTTATCTGATCCGGCGCCTTCGTCAAAAGGGGTAAGCTAACTAAGTGATACAGGAATCGTTTCCTCCAAGGCCCAATAAATACCTAGACTGGCGAAGTGAGATAGATACACCATGAAGCAGAGAAAGCTTTCCTTCGTACCCCCAAACCTGTGTTTATAGAACACCCTGTGCATTAGTCTAAAAGAGAAACTTTCAGCCTTACATGATCTGCCCACGTGTCACTTACATTGGGGCTATGCTGAGCGTTCGCATCAGTTTATTATCTCATGGGCCATCGAAGTCAGACAGATTTTAGTATCAACACCCATACTACCCGAACCGCCTTAAAAGGGGTCTTTCCGTGGCTTCTGAGGAGGTCCACGAACACGTGCCTGCCATGATCTCTTCATCCAGCTCCGCCATTCCATTTCTCCAACAGTCCAATCGTCCACTCCTTGAACCTGCGATCACTCTGCGGGACAAACCCATTGCTTTTCTCGAGCAGTTCAATGACCAGATCCGTCGCCTCAGCTGGGAGCGATATATCCTGGACATCCGACGTCATGGAGTCAAGCATCTTCTCTGCTTCTTCCTGGCTGACCATCCGGTAGAGAACCTTGACCGCATTCACAGGTGAACTAGAGTCCTGTGTCGATGAGAATGTGATGTTGCCGTTGAACACCCATATGTTTAGTAGTGATCGGGAACGCTTGGCCTGAGCTCCGTTCGGGACTGACGGGCTTTGCGTCTTCATTGGTAGGATGATCGATTTGCTGCAGCCTGACCGGGCCATGGTCGCTAGAAGCATTGCGCTGACGCACTGCGGGAGACTCGGTGTTTTTGTTGTTGTTGCGGCTTGAGGGTTTCGTTCATTGATGCTGACTTGCCATTTGAAGAGGGAAATAGATGAGGCTTCGCCATTCCGTACGCCTAGTTGGCTCTTACATGAGTTGCAATGTATGATGCTGTTCTCAGCTCCCGTGGTGCTCTGCGTGGAATTCTCTGGTTTCCCATTGCTGGCTTCCATGCTCTTGCTTACTGGAGGTGTGACCTGGGTTTGCCGATGTTAGTTGTCATTATAAAAATACATAAGTGGCAATGACATATCGGTGCAGTTGAGCTGGGAACTCGTATGAACAATTCACCGATGAAGTGCACATCGAACGCTCAACCCAGAGATGTACCTCCTGATAATTCGGAGAGTTCCACGTTCAAGGAACCTCGTAGTAGAATACAGAGGCATCTTCCAGACAACAGAAGCCGATCCCATAGCTGGAGCCAGGGTTCAACGACTGCATACCCTGTTGGAAGAAGGAAATCGATCTAGGGTATTGGTATCGGTGACCACACCACTGAAGAGCGCGGACGCTGGTTTGGCCACCTTCTATATACCCATCTGACGTTGCAACACGAAGCACAAATGTGAGAAACACTTACAGCAGACTCCAGTACATCGGTTTCGGAGAGCAGAAACGAAGTCAGATCCACAAACCCAACACCGGGCTGCGCGGATATCCTCGAGCTGGCGCCATAGCCTCTGGTAGCCAGGTGCTCGTCGCCGTCGCCATTGCCGTGCTTGTGATCAGGCTTGTGGCAATGCCAAAACTCCATCATCTCGGCCCAGTTCTCGCTCGGTAGGTCTTTCCATACTTGGAGGACGCCGGCGTTGACGATAGCGGCGCTGCATGCCCTGCAGCTTATCGTCGATGCGGGCTCCAGGTCATCCGCCGACCATGGGACGGTCTCTTCTGATGCGTTCCCAATGCGGCCATTTGTGGTACCTGCCAGAGGCAACCGCCAGGACAGGCTCGTGGAACCTGTCTTTGGCAAGGGAAGCTGCGGCGGTGATGTTACTCGCCCGGGTAGCAGAATACCCTCTTTCAGTCCATCGTGATCGATTGTCAGGCTCAGACCATCGGGCGAGACCGTTGCCTTGGTGCCGGATGTACTGGGCGTGTGCAATGTGCAGCCGGCGGACACTTGTCTTATGTTTGATAAGAGCTCCGCGTATATGAGTATGCGGTGTGGTGTAGAAGGCATGTCGCGTTCTCGAGGGTTGTTGAGGCTGCAAGTTTGGTGGCCGCGCAGATAAAAGGTAGAGATCGACTGACCCCGCAAAGAGGGTATTGCATATAAGAATATGGATGGATCGTTCCCGTCAGAGCCGATCGAGCGCCGTGTTCGAGTGTTGAATGTCTCCCAAACGAAGCGACAATCCTGTATTCGATCAGTTAAGGTAATTTCTCACATCGACTTGAAACATCACCGGGGTTGGGAAGCATGAGGAAATGGTCCAGTACATATGCTTGTTCGTTGCCGTATGCACCTATCGGTCAGAGAGAAACCCCTTAAAAAAATAAGAGCTTCCCCAAATTCATCAACATCTCAACTTACGTCACATAACCTTCTACAACCTCAAGGGCAGGAGGAAACTGGCAATGCTCCAATGCCAGAGTGAAGATGGCTTCGATACTCTCATACGTCCCGGTCATCAACCGGTTCTTTTCCCGCAATGACGGAACTCGCTCCATCGATATCCCACCGGTCGAGGTTCACAATGTGGAGACGGCGCCTGAGAAGCGACCGAGGACACTGAAGCACCTCCTGAAGGCAAACCATGTCAACCACTCGATCCTGTATCATGACTTGGAGTTCCACAATCACCTGCCGCACATTTTGTGCTCAGCATACCTGCTTGGCGCAGATGACAAGCAGCTGCACAAGATTTACGACGTGGAATCCCAAGAGCTTGAGCCGTGGAAGCCGTCACCTGCCGAGGTGACCAGGGATGACTGGCGATACTTCCTGGGCCACAAGGACTATCAGAGGGCCTACGTCGACTTCTTCGAGGATTCGCTGGTTGACCACGGCTATAAATGGAAGAAGGTGGTGGAAGAGTACATGTTCGGTGGTGAGGAACCACTGGTGAACTGCCTCATCGGCGGCCGTACGTTATCCCCTCTACGCACTTATAGCAATCTATATCTACTGACGAAGCCAGTTGGTCACCCGCTCATCCATCTCGGGTACGCGTTTGAGATGGACAACAAGGAGCTCGGCATAGAGGCCCTTGCGATGACCGCAACGCAGTACAATTTCCTTCACAAATACATTGACGATCCATCATACTCCAAGCCGTCATCCTTCAGCTCTACTTCGCCATTGGAGCTCCTGGGAAAGATGGCCAGCGACGAGCGATTGAAGGGCCTCTTCAAGGAACCTGGGTTCGACAACGTCGATCCTTTCTTTGAGAAGCACGAGGATCTCCTCGTGGAGTATTGGAATGCCTGGAGCCTTGAGAACCCGGTCAAACAATTCCAGGAGTCGCAAGAGGCAGCGGTAGCACTCCTCGTAGCTACAGTTCCGCCTGGGACGCACTCCTATAACTTCTTTGTCGTCCACCTCCTGACCACCAGCCACGCGGTTAGGATACTACTTCCAGTCATCCCGTCCAAGTTCCATATCAACATGGTGCGAGAATGGTGGCTGTTGACTATCGCTGTCTACGCAGCCGAGCTCTGTCCGAAGATTGACCTAGACTACATCAAGCATGAGGAAGGGGTGGCTGGGAAGCAGTGGAACTACGTTGAAGACAAGGCAGTCAATGGACCATACGCGACCGACTCGCACTTTGTGAAAGGTAAGGCCTACCCCCTATACCACTTTTGCTGGGTTTGCAGTCTAACAGCCAGCAGCCGTTCGAGCAATGAGGGAAGCAGCTCGAACTTGGGGAGATGTGCATGAGCACTACTTGGCTGCCGCCGTACGGTTCGTTGATGACTTTGAGGGCTGGGCATTCTAATAAGATGCCCGTAAGCTGGCGATGGGCGATGAATATGCCGCATCACCCACAAAGCAATACTGAACAACCTGTTTGAATGGCCGAGTGGGTCGGCGTGATGCCGCCTTCCTCTCGCCGAGAAGACTATCAAGTTGTTGGAACAGGTGTCGATCAACACCATTGTGTGATGATAAAAGCAATAGCAACAATTCCATCCATATGTTCAGTCACCACAGTATTTCATTGTAATGCCGCGTGATACGACACTGGGACGGCTCTAAAATGACAGTCGTGTTTAATTGATCACCTGATCGCGCATCAAGGCTACAGGCCCAGACGCGCTGTAAGTGCTGCCGCCCGTGCCGCTAATAAGGAACGCCGCGCCAAAAGGCAGTCAGTCAGTCAGTCTCCTGCATGCGGTCGGCTTTTTGTTTGTTCTTCTGCAGCCCTCGATCGACTACCGATTCTCTACTCGTATGCAGCGCATTGTTCTCAAGCAGATCTTGGCTGAGAACGCATCCAATCGAATTCCGACCGTGCTACCTCCAATCTACGTGTACGAAATACAAGCAGATGCCACGCCTGCATTGTCTGTTACTACGTCATGGCGCCGCCTGCGAAGCGACGAAGACGAAACATCGTTCACGCCTCGGACGATGAGGACGAACCGACGCCGCAAGTAAATACACTGAGTAATTATCTGTTCTCCTCGCCAGACCATAAAGGCGCATCGACTGCGAAGCCTTCCCGGCCCAGGAGCACTTCCCCGAGTCCTGCCCGAAAGTCCTCGCGACTTGCCGCGAGTCAACCCACCAAGCCTACCTTAACTACCACAACATCCTCCACGAAGCCTCTCCAGTCGAAAACCATAAGCAACACTAACAAGAAGTTTATCACGAAGAGTGCCAGCACGAGCCCCGAGAAGAACAAGACCAGGCCTGCAATCAAGAGCAAAGCTGGTGAGAATGGGAAATCCGCCAATATATTGACTTTGTTCTCGAGACAAGCCGAGCGAGCCCCAATCAAGTCGCAGACGAAGCTGGACGACATAATAAGCGATCCCATATCCGACGATGATGATATAGGGGAGCACAGGGCTGCGAATGTCAGCCGAATTGGACAAAATGCACGGAAACGCATCCAAGGACCTCCTCAAGCCAGTAGTGCTCCTCCTGTCACATCAAGTCAGAAGTTTCTGAAGCCACCTCGGCCGGCCCAGCCTGCCCGGGAAGTCAGTTCACAGCACGACCACGACCAACGACCTTGGTCTGAGCGATTCGGCCCTATCAATCTGGACGAGTTGGCAGTCCACAAGAGAAAGGTGGCAGACGTAAGAAGATGGCTCGAGGATGTTATGGCTGGCCGGCTGCGTCAGAGGCTCCTCATTCTGAAAGGAGCTGCAGGAACAGGAAAGACTACCACAGTCCGACTTCTCGCCAAGGACATGCGCTGTGAGTTGCTTGAGTGGAAGAACCCAGCTGGATCCCTTGGAGCATATCAAGGCTTCCAATCAGCTTCTGCACAGTTTGAAGAGTTTCTGGGAAGGGGAGGCAAATTCGGTCAACTAGAGACTGATATGGAAGGATCGACCTCTGCGGTCGGCAGCAGTGGGAGTGACGATGATACACAGAAGATGATCCTCATTGAAGAATTTCCGAATACATTCACACGTTCATCGACGGCCTTGACGTCGTTCCGGAGTGCGATCATGCAGTATCTAATCACCAATACTCCGTCCCTCAGCATGTATGGACGCCAGGAGCCCAAAGACCTTATCACGCCAGTAGTGATGGTCATTTCCGAGACCCTGCTGACCACGACTTCGGCATCTGCGGATAGCTTCACAGCACATCGACTACTGGGACCTGAGATCACTCGACATCCAGGTACCTGCTTGATTGAGTACAATGCGATAGCCCCGACTATCCTCGCAGGTGCCCTGGAGCTGATCGTACGGAAAGAAGCCGCCAAGTCCGGCCGGCGGCGAACCCCTGGCCCACTTGTTCTTAAGAAACTAGGCGAAATAGGGGACATCAGAAGTGCGGTTTCCTCGCTGGAGTTCCTCTGCCTCAAGGGCGATGTGGACTCGGACTGGGGTTCCAAAGTTGCCTTGACCAAGCCGAAGCGCGAGGCGAAAAATGCAACCCCCTTGACTCAAGGAGAAACAGAAAGCTTAGAGCTCATGTCGCAACGAGAAGCAAGCTTGGGCATATTTCACGCTGTTGGGAAAGTCGTGTATAACAAGAGAGAAGAGCTCCCTATGGACAGAGACACGCCCCAGGGAATAGCTGAGATGCTTCCCAGCTATATGGCGGCTCACTCGAGGCCAAAACGATCTGAAGTTTCGGTCGATACTCTCATTGATGAAACCGGAACTGACACCAGCACATTTATCTCGGCCCTTCACGAGAACTACATTCTGTCTTGCGAGTCTAGAGGTCCCTCTGATCCGTACTCTTCTCTAGACTACGTAAACGGATGTATTGAATTCCTTTCCGAGAGCGATCTCCTGTGTCCGTCTTGGGACACTTTCTCCGGTGGCCGTGGTTTCGGTATGGGAGGACTATCTGCTCGGGACTCGGCTAGTCATGTACTGCGACAAGATGAAATCACATTTCAAGTTGCTACGCGTGGCCTGCTGTTCTCTCTTCCTAGCCCAGTCAAGAGGATAGCGACAACATCGAGGAGAGGTGGTGGCGATGCCTTCAAGATGTTCTACCCAACAAGCCTGAAGCTGTGGCGCGAGAAGGAGGAATTAGAAGGTCTGGTTGATCACTGGTCGTCGACGCTACTGAAAGGGGATGACAATGGACACAACCTCACTGATGGCGCATCTGCGTTTCGGCGACCCAAGACAGCCAACAGCGAGCATTGGATCGGTCGACAGGCCGCTCAACCAAAGAAGCCTGAACAAGGTCAAGAACAGTCAGCACCCCTCCTCGCTCTTGGAAGCTCTGCCCGTAAGGAAATGCTGCTCGAGCGATTGCCATACATGGCGCACATAGCACGGCGGCACAGAGGCTCATCCAGCACCAACACTGTGCGATTGAAAGAGATCGAGAAGGTCGTGTCCTTCTCCGGTATCCGAGGCGCGGCAGACGAGGAAGTCGCCGACGCAGACAACGACACCGGCACGGGAGAGGCGTGGGCCACGGATAAGCCTACGGAGGAGTCGTCGCCGCGGAAGAAGAAGACGGGCCTCGGCATCCGACACAGCAGTGCCGGTTCTTCTGTGCTGGCGCTGCCGGTGCAGAAGCTGGTGCTGAGCGATGATGATATTGAAGATGACTGATGACCGACGTACTTTGATTTGAAGCCAGCTTAAGCTTTGTACTATAGCTCTCATGATGTTTACCTGCTCTACAGAGTCTGGGGACCGACCTCTTCTTGGACTGAGAGGAGGGGCTACTACCGCGTGTTGGTGGTCTTATGTGTGTTTCCGGAGCTAGGCGCAGGAGTTTGACGGGTCTTTCGAGATGAAGGTGGTGATCCAACCTGCTGGCGCGTGAGGTGATGTCTAGACATTTCGTGCTGGCAGTCACCAAATCCACTCAATACTTGCCTTTTGCTGAAGTCGGTCTTTGAGCTTTAAGTATGACCGAAGTCAGGACGGTCCAAAGGGGATTCGCCCCGCCTTATGAATGTAGCGTCGCTTTTTCGGTTCTATCGTGACTCGTACTCGTCGCCGCGGCCGCATGCCACATCAGCTCAGTAACGTTTGAGATATAAGATATAAAGCGCATTCGCTCAACGCACTACCGTACCCCTTTTCCCTTCCCGTATGAAGCTCAGCGTGTCTACGTGTGCGTAGCTCAGTATCGGGGTCCCTAGGCGGCTTTCTACCAAGTGTACCTAGTTATATTTAACTTGATTTGGCTAACTAATAATGGAATGGGTTTATATGAAGCCATTCTTATCATTATGATCCGTGTAAGTAAAGCGAATGCCTCCTTCGTAGTCTTATATGCCTGAACACGATGAGTCTCTAGCTAGGGTCGGTGGCTTGTATTGCGGTTGTTGTGACTTTGAACTCGATCTGGACTTGGACTGCTTTGCTTTCATTTCATAACTTAAAGCATGTTTGGGGGCATCTTATGATTTGGTTTTGTTAGATATGTCTAGCTAGCTGACAAATCCCAAAGAAGCCTACCATAGCGGGAATTGGCTATAGGTTAGGAGTCGGGCATGGGATTAGGTGTAGTTCCTTCGTTAATCATACGGACACGATTTTTTTGCTTGATTCGTTCTCTGGCTGATTTGGAAGACGAGGCACATTTGCAGCTTGTTGGCTAGGAGATGAAGGAACTAATGGGATATGCTGCAGAACTGCATCAGACCAAGGCCAGGGGGTGATTCCACGTTGTTGAGACGAATATAGAGTCCCCATAAGGGGTAAGTCGTTTACCAGTCCCGCCTCTGCCCCTCAGGCGCCGGATGCAGTTATATGCACAGCACAGCGGATATGCCCATAAAGGTTGGCATCTCCGGCCGCTGGAATCTAAGCCAGCGCTCTGGGCGTGCTATGACTGGAGTTATGCCACAGGGTAGCCGGATGGGACAACAGCACATGCTATGCTCCACGAGTCGAGCCAGAGCAGCCTCAAGCGGCCTTACAATTATGGCATACATACTACGGGACCACAAATAAAATAGTCTTGGCTGTTCCATAAAGGGGTATTGTGAGTTTTCTGTAGAGTCTACTATGTGCGGCCTGACCTTAGAGCATCTTTTAACTCAACGGGTCAAAGAAACTAGGAGAGACCGAAGTCCCCACATTTGCTTCCAACGTCAAATCTCACCTCAACTCACCCAATAACTTCATCTCAACACCCTTCCACATACTTGTACTTCCAGACCTCACCAACATGAGCATTTTCCTCGACTTCGATGGCACCATAACAGCCCAAGACACCATCAGCGAGCTCGCCAACTTCGCACTGCGCTTTCAAAATTCTCGGCAGCAGCTGCAGCCCGAAGCCGGCGTCGGCGCGGACCTAAAGCCGCAGTGGGACGCCGTCGTCAAGGCCTACATCGACGACCACAAGGCGCAAGTCGCATGCTACCGCCCGGCCGAAGCCGCGCGTCGCGAGCTGCACGAGAAAGTCGCGTTCCTGCGGGACCTCAAGGCCGTAGAGACGAGGTCGCTCGCCCGCATCAAGAGCTGCGCCCTCTTCCAAGGCATCACGCCCGCCGCATTCCGCGAAGCCGGGCGCGCGCTCGTGAGGGAGGGCACCGTGGTGATCCGGCCCGGGTTCGCGGACTTCGTCCGCAGGCGCGTGGAGCAAGGGTGGCGGGTCTACGTCGTCTCGGTCAACTGGTCCAGCGCGTTCATCGAGGGCGCGTGTGGAGGAGTGGACGGGCTGAGCGTCATTGCGAATGATGTGCGCGAGGAGGACGGGTCGGTGGCGGGGCCGGAGGTGCTGAATGCGGAGGGACGGGAGCAGCACAGGAATCTGACGAATTCTTGCGATAAGCTGGATGTCATGACGGCGGTGCTGGAGAGGGACGGGTTGGTGCGGGACGGCAGCAGGTCGTTTTACCTTGGGGACTCGACGACGGATCTGGAGTGCTTGCTTGCTGCGACGCGCGGGATTGTTGTTGCGGATAGGGACGACACGACGCTGCTGCGGACGTTGAGGAGGATAGGAAAGAGCGTGCCGCGCGTGCGAGATGCGGATCAGGGTGCTGGGCTCTCGTGGGCGTCGGACTTCGAGGAGGTTATGGCGCATGTCGAGTTCGAACTGGGTTGATGAGTAACGCCTGCACTGTTCCACCTCTTTCGCAGCGGACGAAGCAACTGTACGACCAGTCGACTGCGTGTGAATTCGGTGCGCATTGTCATTCAGGGGCCAGGCAAGCAAGGGTTAGATCTATGTGGTTTAAACTTGCATCTGTTATGGGCTACGGGGCCGAATAGGTAGATGTCCCTGACCTACAGGGTGGAACGACCGTAGAATGCTGTCAACTGGCGACCAGAGCTCTGACGAGTAGTCACACTGAAGGTTGTTTGAGTCCAACGGCCAAGAGTTGCTGGCCACTGACGATCAGGACAGTCGACTCGACTGTTCGGATGGTTGAAGAGAGTCGTGTCGCTGACTAATCGGCAGGTCCCTGATATAAAGCACCCACCCTCCAAGTTGTGTGCTCAGAGCTTCAGCCTCCCTCAAAGGAGGCTTAGCCCACTGCCTGGCTTGCTGCATAACGGCGGGGGTATAGATGTGGGACAGCCCTAGATGTGGGACAGTTTTCACACCAAAAGACCACACTTGCACCCACACATAACTCCATCTGGATTGAGGCTCTAGATAATATAAAAACAGCAAAAGAATCGCCTTTTCTTGGAGTTTTCAGCAATACTAATTTTCGTCGCGGTACCGTGCAGGCTGGCGGATTGCGCGGCGCGAAGATCGAACCACAATGGGCTCCTCATCCTCCTCATCCTCGCTTTCGTCCCCTTCATCAACAACAACCCCTTCATCCTCAACACCCTCTAAGGGCTCAAATTCTTCTGAATCTGATGATTCAGGCGAGAGAGAGTCATTAGAGAGTGGTCTCTTTGATTTATTCGTGTACAGGTTCTGCAATTCGGCCACAATTTGTCGTCTCTCAGCCCGCTGCTCGATCAAGACTCGCGCAGCCTCTGTTTGCTCGATCTGCTCCTGAATAACGTCCCCAACTCTCCATAGCCGTTGATTAGGCTCTTCTTGAGGTGCTTTACGGCGCTTTTTTGGCTGTAGACGCTCCATTTTGGCGTCTTTTGCCTCCAATAGCTCTTTTGCGAGGGCTAGCTCAACCACCATCTCATTGTACGACTTTGCAACCGAGCGTACTGCTGCTCGCTGCTCAGGGGTCTCAGCAACTGGTGATAGTATCAGGGCTATGTCCTGCCCTGATTTAGGGGCTTCTAGGGCCTCGTGGGTGGTCTCGGGGTCCATTATAGCAGCTGCTGCTGCTTGGATCTCCGCCGCCTTCACCACATGCTCGTTTGTCAACGTTTTTCGTCGATTTACAGGCCAAAGCCCAGCAGTACGCCACCCCGAACGCACGATAGCCGGCATAGCTTCATCGCGAGCTTTCGCTAGGCAACTGAGGAACTTAATCTTGCCAATAAGGGCCGAATCGTTGAGCTGGCCAAGCTGATTGATTAAGCGGTGGTAGGCGGCTTTAATAACAGAGAATACTGTCAAATCCAGCGGCTGGAAGACATGAGACTATCCCTATTAGCAAAATAACTACTAACTGATCATCTAACTTACCATGTGAGCTGGAAAAAAGCACATATATACGTTATTAATGTAGCAAAGATATATAAACTCATCTGAGCAATGGCTGCCATGGCCATCTAATATTAGAAGGCGAGAATCATCGGGATCTTTAGGAGCTGTATCAGGGAGATATACCTGAGGCTTATTAGCACATAGTTAATGAGTAATACTCGTTATTTACTCGCCTTTTCAAGCCACTTTAACGCGATCTCGTTTGAGGACCAGCCGTTAATGGAGTACGTCACTATCCACTCTGCCATCGCGGGATGCTTAATAATAAGCTGCTCTTTAAACCACTGAGTCTGTATCGACTTTGCCTTAAAAATAATAAGCGGCCGGAGCTTCTTTCCAGTAATAGTGATCGATTTGACCACTGTAGTCCTCGTGCGGTCGTCGTTAGACTTGACGTTGGCCCCTTTTGAGCCAGAACTACCTATTACAAGGCCATCAGACCTATTATCGGCCCGGTCAGCCGTCCAAAAAGCACTTGGATTGGGCATTTACGTACTGCCAGCCCTGTATAATGCCGTACTTATCGACATTTGCCTGGTTCGCGGGTTTGATAAAGGCGAACTCCTTATAGAGATCATGGAAGCCATTGATGTTCTCGGGCATGGCGGCGTTGATATGCTTGTAGTCCAGTTTTCTGCCCATCTTGGTCTTTATCTCTGGGTGCCTACAGATGAAATTTCGCATGTATTTGCCCCCTAAATGATCTGCCCTGCCCTCAGATTGTAGGATCTTCCGGATGATGTACCTCACATTGCCGTGAGTTGGCGCGTGGCCAGCCTCCTCTTGATAGAGGATCCATGATACAACCCGAGTTTCTTGCACAGGGCTTAACTTTTGGCTCCTAAGAGCCCCCTCACGGCTAGTCAGCGTTGGGCGCATCGTGGTGCCGTCTACCTTCGGCGGGAGAATTGATTTCGGTACTCCCCAGCGCTGATGCGCCTTGCAGAGGGATATGCCATCGTTCACAGCAGCAATTGCCTCTGCGAGGTCTTCTGGAGTGTACGAAGGAGGCATTTCAATGTACTGAAGCCTATGATACTGACAGAAAAAAAAGAAAAAAAAGAACAACAGAATTTCTGCTACAGTGAAGGGGATAGGGGGCATGGGTCCCATTATCCCTCAGATTAGGGCCGGGAGTGCTAACTTCCGACCCCCACAGCGGCCCATCCCGCATTGGTAAACCTGATGAAACCAGCACTGCTGAAAACAACAAGAAAAGACGATTTTAATGCAGTATTTACGATATCTAGGGCTTCATTGCCGGTAGAGATATGTGTAAGTGAACATTGTGATGTTGGGTGTGAAAACTGTCCCACATCTAGGGCTGTCCCACATCTATGCCCCCGCCGTTATAAGGTGTATTACTTGGAGCTAGAGTTCGGTCTATCTACGCTGCGCAGGGGACACAGCGGCAAGTCTCGTTGCATTGTGTTAGTCCGAGTCCAGTCGTCTACATCAACATTCGTTCCATTAAGTTGCTGCTGGCCTGCGCTCTCCCAAGGCTCAAGTGTCTATCTCCATCCAATCATCGCATTCATCCGAGCAGTCTTGACAAGCTCCTCCCCGGTGACCGTACAAGATAATCCATCCAGGGCTCTGGTATATGTTCTTAAGTCCCCACTGCAGAAGTGAGCTGGGCGGTAGATCAAGGCACGAGGTCCCAGACTTGAGGTCAAGGCCAGCTGAAAAGGCCAAATAGCCAACTATCTGTGCGGTTTCTCCTTGACGCGGTTGTATTCTGACTCATAGTTATTCTCATTAGACACCCTACAAACTTCACCACGCGCCGATTACCTATCGCGAGCGGTTCTTTCTTGATGCGGCTATGTTCTATTTCCGGACCATGGATGCTTATGATGCTCAATCATCAATGCTCATCCACATTGCTCGGGTCCCGGGGTCCCGGGGTGCGGGTGCCCGGATGCCAGAAAACCAAGTACATCCTGGTCCCAACGTTCTCAACTCTTCAGGGGTTGGCGGGCTCTGCAGCTACCCTTGTCCAAGCACTGTGATTACCGTTCAGGTGTTTGTCTGTTGGACTGTTGGACGGCGAGGAGTCGAGTACGGATGGCAGAGTCCTCCCTTACGTCCCCACCTGCGCGATGGGTATTGTGGCACGGTTGGACCAACACCACATGCAATTTACCACGCTGATGGGAGCCATGTTCTCGCTCCGGTTCAAATTACCTTGTTCTGGTAAAAAATTCAGAACTTTCTCGTCTGTTCATAATGGAAACTCCATTGATAGCAGAATTGAGTAGATACGCCCAGTTAGAAGCCTACCTGACTGATCATGGTGACCATGGCAAGACAAATCGCAGCGCTTGCTACAGTCCTTGTCGCCGGACTGGCACTTTTTCTTTCCCAGCGAACAAGGCCCCTGACTCCTCAGCTACCTCGAGTCATCGGTCGCAACAACACAGTCCTGTTCGTCACGCAGTCCGAAAACGGTATGTCGAACGTCCTGACGTCGACGGCGCACGCGTTGTTGGAGCACCACCCCCAGATCCATATCCACTATGCCTCTTTCGCAGACGTCGCTCCCCGGCTTGAGCGCATCTCCTCTGACGCCCGGACAAAGACAGCGGCCGCACGGGAGATCGTGTTCCACGAGATCCCCGGGCAGTCGTTGGCGGACATCAGTCCCGGCAAGACAAGACCGATGGCGACTATGATTTTTCCCCCTGGCCGAGAAGGCATTGAGGCAATGTGTGCCCTGGCACAGCTCCTTTCTTCGCACATAACCGGAGAGTAGCATTTCACCATGTACGACAGTATTGTCCGCACCATTGACGAAGTAGATCCCGCCATCGTTGTGTTGGGTTCGTTCTTCCTCCCGGCCGTCGACGCGGTCTAGCAACGAAACCGACTTCATTCGATCACCTCGCCCAACCCCTTGATTGATATGTTCGCCTCAGTGCAGCCATGGGGCAGCGCCTGGTGGAAATATCCGGCGTCAGTACTACCCTTCATCTAGCTCGCAGACACTTTCCAATGCGGCAACATGGAAGCGGAGCTGACCTCTCACAGGATGGGGTCTGGCTTCCCCTATCCAGTTCCATGGAGCAAGATACCGGAGAACATCTACCTGAACATGCGCTTAGCCTACGCCATGTTGACCGTGCCGGATGCCAAGGCCAAGCAGGATTTCCTTAAGTCGAAGGGCCTCACCAAGCAAGCCACCATGGTTGAAAGTTACTCTCCCCATGCCCCCTGGTTCGCGCAGAACTTAGAGGGGGCCGCTCGCCCGCTGGCCGTGATCCCGCAGAACGTGACGGCCACGGGTCCCATGTCCATATCGCTTGCTCCAGCCGCGGAGCAAGACCCGGAATTAACTGCCTGGCTTGCGCAAGCACCCAACGTGATGATCAATCTTGGCAGCGCGTATGTCTACGACGAGCCTCATGCAGCCGCTATGGCTCAGGCCCTCGTTGGCTTCCCCGACGGGACTAGCTTCCAGGTGCTGTGGAAGTTTCGGAAGGATCTAAGTGATGACTACAGCGACGATTTCGCCGTGGCGCTGCGCCCTTTCATCGCCAGCGGCCGTGTGAGGATGGAAAATTGGCTGGCGACCGATCCCACGGCCTTGTTGGAGATGGGACATATTGTCGCTTCGGTCCACCACGGCGGTTCGTGCTGTTATCACGAGGCTATCAGGTAAATATGTCCCTTGGAGACGATACCCCCCCCCCAAACCCCCATTTTCTTATCATCTCCCCATTGTCCCCTGTCTCCCCGCGTCGACTCCCACACAATGGTCAGAACCGAGCCGAAGACCAGCTTACTAATGAGCACACGTCCAACAGCGCCGGAGTGCCCCACGTAGTCCTCCCATGGTGGGCCGATCACTACGACTTTGCCCAGATGGTCGAGGACATCAATGTCGGCGTCTGGGGCTGTCGGGAGACGAGCCCTTACTGGACGCCCGACTGCCTTCGAGACGCCTTTCGCAAGGTCGCGGAAAGCGCCCAGATGCGTGACAAAGCGAAGAAGCTGGGTGAGGTGGCCAAGAGAGGCCCCGGGCAGTATCTGGTAGCGCGCGAGATCGCGAAGCTTGCTGCTGCTGGAAAGGGGGTGTAGAAAGTGACACTGGGAACACCTTTTTTAACTTGGTTATGTGGCTGTCATAGAGGCTTTATATATGAGCCCATCTATCGGGGCAGAGTCCCTACCTTTCTGAGTTAGGAACCACGGCTGCAAGGCCGTGTTCATAAAAGACAACGGGGACAACGGCGCGTTGACGGACAGCTAGTGCACGGAGTGGAACCCGGGGTGGACCAACTGGGAGGTTGTGTGCGAGAAGAAGAAAAAGCGTAGAAAGGACGAGGGGCCGGACTGTGATGAAGCGTCGAATTCTGAGGAGGCGTTGGATGCTAATGGATGAGTGAGAGACCGACCGCAGACCGGGTTGCGCGAAACTTCGAGGAAGGAAGGAAGGAGTGGTAGTCTAATAGGCAGCGTGGCAGCCCCCTACTGTATAGGCGCGGTTTGGACACTGGTTCGAGTCGGGAACCCTTTGACATAGAAAATACCTTACCTTAATAGCACCACTTTGAGCACTGAAGAGCTTTCCCGTGGGAACTGGCTGTGTCCGGTACCCAAACGCCTCTGGATTGGAGTTAGGTATGCAAACAAACTTGATGCAGTACCGGCAAGGACCGTCGTGAGTTGGGACTGAGGACAACATAGCTCTCTGAAGCAATCACATGCTCACGATGCACACTGTATCGGAGTCTCCGCGTTCCTACGGCCACCGTAGGGCTGGATACGGCTGCTAAAAGAGACGGTGGGCCCCAGGAATCGAAACTTATTATAGTACTGTGTCGATCGGGGTGGAGATCTCGGGCAGGATTAGGAATCAGGATCAGGGGTTCCACTGCGGTCCGTAATCCTCAGAACCGACAAGGTTTTTAAGAATAGTACAAGTGTCCAGGCTGCCAGGATGATTGATTGATTGATTGATTGTATTTATCGTGGGTGCAGTCCCTCCATAGGGCAAACCACGCCTCCCAGAGCCATTGCATCGCAAGGTTGTAAAGGTGTCAGTCTAGATACATTCAGATCCGCGTACGAGCCCATCCTCGCTGTAGCGGTACCAACCTGAAGTGACCAGATGGTTTTAGTCAATATCCAAGCACGATTCCGTCAGAAAACCCTCCTGTCCAGTGACAAAGCGACCCAGTGGACCTCAGTCCTCTGGTGTACATATCGTTCCAGTAGCCGTTTGATATATGTCGTATTGGTGGATAAAGCAGGTATTTATTATCTGCTGGTGAGGGAAACCCACAAGGGGAAAAACCTCGCAGGAGTGGGTATTATGGAGAAAAGCTGCTTGGCTATCGGGCTCTGCGATAAGGGGCCTCTCCACTGTCGTGTGCTGGTTGTCGACTCGTATAAGCCGGGTCAGAAGGGGGCCATAGCAGGATTCGAACCCACTTGTTCTCGTCGCCCACCGCACAAACGAGAACACAACCAGGCGCATTTGACCATTGCGCCATACGGCCCAGGCTGCCAGGATAGTAACCAGTAGCGCCATCCGTACCCTTCCTATCTTGGTAGGAAGGTAATGATACACGTCAATGGCAGCAAAGAATATAATTGGTTACGATGCTAGCTGGTAGGTAGATAGTGGCGATTGTATAAGAGTATGTATAGTCCCTTAGAATCTAGCCCTACCTGTACCTAAGCTGATATCCAGGATTACCATCCTGCTGCCTGGACATCTGCACGATGATGGTACAGTAGATGCGGCTCCTCCGACGCGGGAGCAGTGGGTGCCCTCGGTCACCACCTGGGTAAGTCACTGGGAGGAGCGTCGCCTCACAGGAGTGAGTCAGCCGTGGTCGTGATAATGCAAGTAATGGTAAGGAGTAATAAGCATGGCGGGCCGAGGCGGCGGTGGCAAAGTGAGTAAGTATAAGTAACTTCCCATCTTCTTGGCTACGGGAGGAAGACCAGTGTCCTTTAGAGTCGACTTACCGATACCTACAAGTTGCCTTATTCACAGACTGCCTTTACCTCTCTTATACTCGACCGCATGAACAACACTTTCACTGCACCTTGCTCGCTGTGATTAGAAGCAGAGGCAGCCTTCTACGTCTCTCCCATAGCCTGCTTATTCCGTCATCCTCCCGCGGTAACCACAACGAGGACAACGACAAAAACAAAAACAGCAGTATAACGGCCACCATCATGCACCTCACGATCCCGGCTTTGACGGCCGTTGTACTCGCAGCGATGACGGCCACGGTTGACGCACACTCTTGGCATTTCAAGGCCTACGGCAACTACCCCCTCACCAACCGCCCGCCCCTAGACAAGTGCAGTAGCGAGTACAACTTCTGGAGCGAGCGCAGCAGCGAATCGTCCTACGACCGCGCCGTGAAGTGGGAGACTTTAGGGAAATGGCAGGCTGTGAAGGTGACCGGGGTGAAACAGGGCGGCTGCCAGCTCTATCTCTCCGATCGCATAGGGAACTTGGTCGCGCTGGACAACAATAAGTGCACAGACTGGGATCCGAACTGGGTGATTTGGAAGGCGGTGTGTCCGTAGACGAAGTTTAAGCGTGATGAGGATGGGAAGTGGTCTATTTGTGACAGATCGGACTCAGATGCCGAGTAATAATTGAGTAAACATTTACTCTGGCCAGTGAGCCTTGTTCGTATGGTCTAGATATATTCGATATAGGTACTCGGAAGTCAAGGAGCTGTTCCGTCCAACAATCCATATCATAAAAAACATAGGTCTATGTCGATGAATGTAAGTGTGAGATTTCAAACCGTTCTGTATTGAAAGGAAAGAGAAGAAGATCTCTGGGGGAGAAGCCCCCATATGTACAGGTGTGCCATCAGGGTGACCAGATAATCATACGATAATGGCGCCAGGATCCTGGTGGCCTGAGGATGGGCTGACTGCCCTGAAGCTAAACCCATTAGCGCATTCAGCCCCGAAAGCCTCAGCCTGGTATGATATCCAACAGTAAGACCGCGAAGAGCTGATAATTTAGGTCGAATTGCCCTTGACTTATACGCAAGTACCGTCTAGGTTTCAAAAACGCATGACTCGCTGATTGCGGTACACTGACCTTACAATTCTATCCGCACATCCTGTTGAATGGCGCACAAGCCACCGTGGCGTTCAGAGAGGTGGCAGTGCACCAACAAGGCCAATAGGGCATTTTTAGGCCACCTAGCCCACAGAAGGATTTTCACAGATACAACAACAACACTCTAATCAGAATCACCAGAACACACGTTATCAACCAGATCAACCACAATACACGCTGTTTGACACATCTCATGCGCCACATGTGTACGGAGAATATTGGTAGGTGATTATTAAAGGCACAGACGGCTGGGTTATTAGTCTATATTCAAATGTATTAAAATGAATATTGCTATTTACATATTAGAAAAAATCCTTATTTATATATTACTTTTTAACCACACTTATAATTAAATAGCAGCTACTAGGCTTAGGTTTAGCCAGCTAGCTAGATAGTTAGCCTAGCTATTAAAGAAATAATAAATTGAAATTATATAGCATTTTGTCGGATTCAGGGGACTGCATTGCGGTGTGCTGCTGACTAGTCATCTGACTAGTCATATGACACGTGGTGGTTGCCATGACTAGCACCCTGACTCGTACGCTGACTTGGAAAAGGATGGTCTGGAGCATCTACTCCAGCATGACCAGATGTATTCAAATAGCTGTAGCTACCACACAATGTGACAGGCCTGAATATGACAGCAACGATTGCAGCTACCGCTCAACATCACCGACTTGTCAACCTTCAATAATCTGACACATTTATATATAAACCTCGATAATAATAGCTGTTTAATTCGGCATATTAAATCGACACGATTAAACTATCTAGTTATAAAAAACGTAATGATTTGAAAATATATAGTATTTTATAAGTAAAATATACGTTTATATATAACTAGTATATATATAACAGTACAAATATTAAAGCCTCGGGCTTTAACCTTTTATATAAAAGAGGTTTATTATTAAACGAATAATAAATAAATAATTATTAAAATAATACCGTTGCTTTATTTATATTATTATTACCGCGCTCCAGGTTTTACTTATATAATAATATCTTTTTAATACATTTAAGCTAAAATTATAAGCATTTAATTAATAATATTATTTGAATCTTACTTAAAAAGCGTTTTTTAAAAGTACCCCGTCATTATTAAAATAAAAAAGAATAAAACGAACGAGCTTCAATTAAAAAAACCGAGCTATTAAAGCGCTATTAAACACGCTAAGTAAGGCGTTAATATAACTGTCACGATGTCTTTGGCGTTATGCTGGAATCTGTTGTTGTATTCCTAAAATAACAAGGTGATGAAGAAAAGAAATCCAGGTGTTTGTGCACCCAAATGGCTGCAGCATATATGGTGGTGTCTTTTCTTATCTAATCTATGTGAGGGCAGTGTGAAGGCACACAACAGCGCAACCTACTGCGCCCCATATCACACCCTGGCCAGGGGTTCATCTAGATAGCTCTGTCTCCCACCTGTATCTAGCTCTCTTTCCTTCCTTTCTTCATCTTCGATATTTTCGTCTATAGAGTAGGTTACCCCCTTGTCGTCTGCTTTGTCTCGTCTTAGGTGCCACTCGCTGTGACAATCTACATGTGACCTGATGACTAAGCATCCATCCATCCAGGTGGATACGGCTGTTGTTGAATACACGGATGTTGATTGATTCTATTGATTGTGTTCTTCTTCTGCGTGCAGAGATTGATCATCTGTCTTCTTGCTGGGTTAGATGCCCTGTGCGTCTCTGCCTCACTGGAGATCTTCCGGTATCTGTCTCCGGCTCCCATTCAACAGCTGTACACGGTCACAATAACGATTATTAAAGTAATTAACAACACGAGTATTACGTCGCTTTTCGGCTTTATAAAAGAAAGGAAAAGCGAGAACCGGCTTAATGTAACGGTGTACAGCTGTATCCACCTGGTTGAATGCTGAGTCATCAGGTCACATATAGATTAGATAAGGAGATTTGAACCATATGTACTGCAGCCTCGGCTGTATACACAACTGTTCCTTTTCTCTCCTACCTTGTTATTTTCGGAATATAATACCAGTATCTAGCACACAGCCGCAGGCTTCGTGACACTTAAGCTTAATAAACGGCCTTATAAACGAATTAAGAAACAAGCTATTTAAAGCGTTATTTAAAACGTTACAAAAAAACGGCTTTAAAAGCTTGTTAAAGGTCGTTATTAAAACCGCATTATCTTTAAAAAATTAAAAATAAGCTTAAAAGCGTTATTATTACTAGTATTAAAATCGGCTTCAAAAGGGTATTAATGTCATAATGCCTGCGGCGTTGTTTTGCAATCTGGGATTGATTACAAAAATAACAAGATGAGGAAAGAAAAGGAAGCCAGCAAGGTGGTGTGCGCAGCACACACTTTAAGTTGTGGTCCCGTTTCTTCCTTATCTAATCTACACGTGACCTGGTGGGTCACCTAACCAGGGACCAAGTGGGTGGACCGCCACAATTAAAGGTTATTTTAACGAGTATTTACCTAGTTAATACAAAAACTTCACTTTTTAAAAATCTACGGCGCTTATACTAGTTATTTACAGCGCGTAATAATATAAAAAACGGCTTAAAAAAGCGGGATAAAGGTTATTTTAATAATTTTTTTTTACTTTAAACATCTTACCTTATCTTTAAGTTTATACGGCACTTATGATAATTAATACGTAGCATTTATCTTTGCCGGCTTATGTGACGGCCTGCACAGACCTTCCCACATGACAAGCTGATACTTCCCAATAAGGGAAGAATCTGACCAAAGGATCCCCTTAAAGGGGCAACCTCCCGCTGTACCTATCTCTCTCTCTTCCTTTCCTCCCTAGTCTTGATATTCTCTTCAATAGAGTAATAGCTGCTTGCTGCCGGCCGTGTCCCAGCTCCTCAGTACGCTCGCCGTGACAGCTTAAAAAAAACCTTTTCCGACGTAAATACGCTAATATAAACAAGGTATAAAATGCTAGTAAAATGAATAACTGTTGGATCCATGCGATTCCAGACTGCAAACCATCTATACCAGGACCCACATGTATGATTAGATAAGATAAGATAGTGGATTGAGAGGGCACTTGGCCAGACCTTCGAGTCCAGCTAGATTCCTCTCAATCCAACCATTAGCAACATCATGACCTTGACCCCATACTCGAGTATTATGATTGATCGTTCAAGCCTGTTCCAACAATAACAGCTTTAATAAAACCTGTTAAAAGTCTTTAAAATGAGCACTTTATTTTTAAACAATCGTAATAAGCTTAAAAGCGTTGTTAAACAGCTTAAAAGGCTTGTTAAAGGTTATTAATACAAGCATTTCACTCTTTAAAAAAAAAAAAAAAACCGCTCGTATTAGTTAATTATAACGCCTAATAACTATTCGAAAAAAGCGTGAGCTGAAAAAGCATCGCTAGTAATAAAAACGGCTTTAATAAAACATGTTATTATAAAAAGCCTTTTGTACAAATTAATTACTTATAAATAAAGGTAAAAAACGATAAATTAATCGGCGATCGGATTTATAAAACATCCGTTAATAACGTACGTGGTAATTATATTATAACGTTTATACCGTATTAAGCCTTTATAAACAGCTATTCGTTTAATAATTAAAACATTATTTCTAGTCTTTTTTACTAAGAAACATTTTAAACCTTTATAAAAAGCTATTAAGTTAACAATGAAAGTATTAAATAAAATAAAAGCCCTTCATGATTGCTTATAAAAGATAGAATTATTATTATAAAAAGCGATTATTATATAACTATCAAACTTATAATAAAAAGAAAATATTAAATTAGACCCATATATATCAATCAGCTATTAATACGAGGTTTAAATTACGCTTTGTGAGAATTTGTTGTATGGAATATTCGGTTCATATGTGCGTGTTCGTTGGTTGTTCTAAGTCTACCTGGTTCGGACGGATTCACACCTAAATACTGCTACAGCGCGTCTATCCGCGGTGGTAACTGTTAGATACTAGCACGAATATGTTGAATGTGAGCCAGAGATAGAAACCGGAAGATCTCCAGTGGGGCAGAGACGCACAGGGCATCTGACCCACCAAGAAGACAGATGATCAATCTCTGCATGCAGAGCAGAACAATCAATAGAATCAATCAACATCCGTGTATTCAACAGTAACGGAGCTATGGGGCAACCATCCCACCCACATCGCACAAACCACCTGTTGACACACTTTGAGCCACCACCACATCCGACACGCTTATAAAAAAACGAGTAAAATCTTTTAAGTCGATGGAAGCATTACGACTTAACTAGTTAAACAAATAAATAATAACCTTGACGAAGGTATTATACTAATATTTTTTTAGTATATTAAAAAACCCTTGTTATTAATAAAGTTAAGAGTATAAAGAACTTGGTTTGAATAATTAAAAAACATCCCAAGTTTTTTATCGATAAAAACATCAAAAACCCTCTTTAATAACGGCGGCACGGTTTACAAAATCTCTTATTATTACGAT